CAGGTTCCAATCCCGTGCTTGGAATCATTTATTAACCAAGACGGGCAAGGGTCCAAAAGGCAAGTGGTTGGACGTACTCGCCCAAGCACCTTGTCCACATCATCGGGCCGCAATAACTGAAATTCATCCAATAAATCTGGACCAGACGGCAGCATTGGTGTCTCCTTTGAAACCTCTGAATCAATAGTGGTGTCCAGCTCGTGACGAATCTGAGCGATTTTCTCCCTGAAATGCCTGGCAAAGTCGTCACAGCGGGTCTTTGAGGGTGGAATCAGGTCTTCCTTTGGACCTGGACGGACCAGGCCTTGCACCACTCGAAAGAGCTCCGCCGGACGGCATTGTGAGGAGGCAATGGAAGCGGAAAAGAATCTCTTTTTTGCCGCCCTCACCGCCACAGCATAGGCCCGATAGTGGGCTCTTAAGTGTGTTCGGTCAGATTCATCTCGTGATTTCCTCCACCTACGCTCTAGTCGTCTCCCAACCTGCTTCATCGCCCTCAATTCAGGAGTATACCAAGGGGAAGAGCGGGCTCTGCCCGGTGGGAGAGGACGCTTAGGAGCGATCGTGTCTACAGCTCTGGTCATCTCCCCATTCCACAGTTCGACCAGAGCCTCGACAGGAGCACCCGTCTTGTCAGCCGGAAACTCCCCCAGGGCCTTCAGGAATCCTTCTGGATCCATCCGGCTCCGGGGGCGGACCCACATAATCGGGTCCGCACCCTTACAGAGGGAGAAGTCGCTCTCGAGCATAAATCTCACCAGGAAGTGATCTGACCATGACAGGGGAGTCAAGCATAAATTACTCACCCTCAGACCACCCTCTTCCTGCCCCGTCGAGAAAACCAGGTCCAGAGTGTGTCCCCGTTCATGGGTGGGGCCGGTGACATGTTGAGACAGCCCCATGGCCGTCATGGAGGCCATGAAGTCCTGAGCCGCCCCGGTCAGACTAGCCTCGGCATGGAGATTGAAGTCCCCCAGGACCAACATCCTGGGGGTCCTCAACACCAGGTCCGAGACAGTCTCCGTCAGCTCAGGCAGGGAGACTGTTGGGCAGAAGGGTGCGCGGTACACCAACAGAATCCCCAGTCTGTCTCGGTCGCCCAACACCAAATAGAGACACTCCAGCCCTGGTCTCGAAGGGACCGGAAGTCCCGTGAGGGAGATGGAGGCTCGGTATACCAAAGCGACCCCCCCTCCCCTCCCCTCCAGCCGTGAGCAGTGCTGGACCAGATACCCGGGCGGGCACACTTGGGAGAGGGCAACATCCCCCCCCTCTCCCGCCCAGGTCTCCGTTATGCAGACCAGGTCGGCCCCCTCATCCACAATCAGGTCCTGGATGAGGGCAGATTTGTTATTGACCGACCTGGCATTAAGCAACAGCACCGTCAGGCTGGAGGGGCGACTGACGAGACTCCCTGGCACCCTCTGGCTGGGAGCAAAACCAGAAGTAGGGACAGGTGTCAGCCATCTGTCCCTCCTTCTTCTATGCGGACACGTTAAGCTCCCAACGCTGTTACGTCCCCTGCCCATAACCACCTCAATGGCGGCACCCGTGCGCTCCCCAGGAAACATAAGCGGCAGCATGGCCAGGGACGACTCCATAAAAAGATTTAAAATACTACTAAAAACACACACACACACACACACACACACACACACTCACCCCTCACTCACAGCCCAGCAGGAGGGCCTACCATCGCCAAGCGCAAGCCCCTGGCCAGCCCCGCCCCCTGCTCGGCCACCCGAACGGCGGCAACTGTCCTTTGGCCGACGCCCTTTGTAGCCGCTGGCCCTGCGTCCCCCGCCTCGTCCGAAGCACGCCTGCCACACGTGCTGGGGTTGTATGGTTGTAAGCTGCCTAGGAAGGCCTTTGGGCAGTTATAGGCAGCATATAAATATGCGCATAAATAAATAAATAAATAAATAAGTATGTTGTGACATGTGCTCCCACAAAAGCTGCTCCTGGGGGTAACCTTCAAGAAAGGGGTGGGATGGAGCATGAGGTGCATAGATGCTGGGACTTTACTCTGAGTATGTCCCAGTCGAAATCCCTGAGATCCCCTTCAAAGCTCCCATGTTAAAGGAGCCCAGAGTTGTACAGTGAACTGTCAATGGACTGTCAACTTGGCTTCCCCTTTAAAAAGGGGTGGTCTCTTTTAGCCCTTGAGAGGTAGAAAAAAGTGCAGAAGTGGCTTCCCCACTATTGGCACCAAAGAGGGGACCTGAAAAGATGAGGAGCTTGCTGGGAAGAGGGGAAAAATCCCCCAAACGCCTCTTTCCATCAGAAGATGCTTCCCAGGTTGGGTTTCTCTTGTTGGGGCAATGGCTTCTCCAGCTTTTCAGGAGTAACCAGGGATGGGGGAGACTTTCACATATCTGCAGGGAAGGTACCTGCGGCACCTGGGCAGTGGGAACCCCCCTCCCCAGGGCCCCACCCAAGGCTTAAAATGCTCCCATTTGTACTTCTGCAGCAAGCATGTTTGTGCTAATGGGAGTAAAAACACACTTTAAAATTGCACACACATTGTTAGCCGCACAGCAAGTGAACTAGCCAAAGGACTGGGTAGCCTCCAGGAGCCCTCCAACCATACTATATTGTGACCCATTGAAGGGGGAACTGGTGGCAATTTCTGGGGGGGAAAAGAGGGGCAAAATCACCATGGCCAATTAGAAATGGTGGTGGGAAGGGCTCATCTTGTCCCTTGGGCCTCTCGTGGATCCTTCACGAAACAACCAGCCCCCTGGGCAAATCACCGCAATGGTTGCTGCCACATGCAAACCTGCCCAGTAACTTAGGCGAATTGGGCGGCATAGAAGCCTCCTAAATAAATAAATAAATAAATAAATGACTGGCCAGAAACTAGACCCACGCCCCCATCTCCTGTGTCCTGCCCCAACACCCTTTCCACTATTGGTGGGGGGGGGAGTGGTGAAGCCCCCGGATTATGCGCACTAGTATTTGCTTACTCAGATTCTACATGCACACACCTAGATGTGTATAAATATTCCTAGCTGATGTTTTAAAAATTCAAAGAAGAAATTAAAGGGCTGATCTGGAAAGCATGATTTCTATATCTTTCTAAATCCAGGCTGCAGGGCTTGGCATATGATAGCAACAGCCCCGTGAGATTCTATATATTAACAGTGTTTATTATTTCAGGGCATTGTGCAAGGTTGTCGTCGTGTCCCGTTTTCAGAAGAATGGAATGTTATGAGATAAACTGCACAATTTGTCTGGCGCACGTCCCTCCTCCCCTGTCCTGCCATACGGGTCCTTGTAAAACGGCCCATCAGCTGATGGTGCTCCTGCTTTGTTTTCTTCCCATTTTTTCACACATAAAAGCCAAAAGATTAAGTTGCATGGCTTTTCTGTGGGATTAGTGATTTTTCTGGTTTCAATCATTCTAACTTATTTCCCCACCCTGCATCTGTTTGTTTAATCCCTGAAAAAGTAAAAGCTCTTTCCCCTAATGAAACCAGGCTTTTATTGGTGGTGTGGGGTGGGGTGGTTTTGTTTTGTTTTGTTTTGTTTTGCTTGTTTTGTTTTGTTCCATTGTTGCTGTCCTGCTGAAGGGCCCATGTAGAAACTTGAGGAATTCTGCCTGTTGAGTGTGAGTGCCATTGCCTATGCACATGGAAATATGCAGCTGTTTTTCCATGCAAAAATCAGAAGGCAAAGTTAGGGCTAAATCCAAACAGAATGATGCCAGGGCTTTGTGCAGGGTGACCTCTTTGCCTCGGTTCAACCAAACAAAGAAACCAGTTCTTTTTTATATCTTGGTACAAAAAAAGTCCTCTGTACTTCTGCCTGGGAGTAAATCCCACTGGACACAGTGGGTCTGACATCTGAGTAAACATTCCTAACGTTGCACCGTCGTCTATCTGCATATACCTAGAATTGTCTGAAGTTGCAACCCTCATGCAAAATTAATGCAGTTTTCTACACCAAAGGAACATCCATCTAGGAACTGTGGAAAAGTCACACAGTAAAGCAAGTGATAGATTTTGAGTACCTCAAAAATGTGGAGGGTTGTTAAGTATTTACTTTATTATCTTATATTTTTAACTATAGTGGCCACAATTTTGGGTTTTTCACTTTAGATGCCAAAAATGTTAGACTGCCTGTTTGTTTTGCAAAGATTGTCTTCCAAAAAATGTTAGGCAATATGAAACTGTGATCTTTGTTTTGTTTTATTTTTCCTTTTCTCTGTTTCTGTACACTGCATACAATTACGTGCATTAACACTAAATAACATAACTAGAGGTCACATCACTGTTTCATTGATTATGAGATGCCTTGTGATATTTGCATGGAGGTAGCAGGAAGAGTAGATTCTATGTATAAGGCATACTCCCATTAATACGTGCCATTACCAAAAACTATTCAAAATGTAGTGAATCTCAACATTTACACATAAATGTGGACAATCCCAGATGAATTTTGTAAATGTCCGAAACATCAGATATCTGCTGGTCAGGGTTGACAGACTCCTGAAAATTATAATCATCAGTATCTGTCATATGCTACGGAAGACTGACAAATGCTCCCTTCAGTACTAGAGGCAGTATATTTCTGTAAACTGTTGCCAGGGAACATGAGTGGAGAATGTTCTTGAACACAAGCTCTGCTCGTAGCCTTCCCTTAAAGCATCTGGTTGGCCACTGAAGGTGCAGAACGCTGGACTAGTTGGGCCTTTGGTCTGATCCAACACTGCTTTCTTATGTTCTTATGAAAAATCTGTTTCCAGAGTCGGAATGTTCTTTAGGAAGTCAAAGTTATTTTAAATTTGTTAATGAGTTAATCAATGGAGGATACTGTGGTATACTGGGAGATGAAGGGTTTTTTCTGTCTAAACATGCATAGGATCGTGGCCTACTTGAATAAAAGGTAGCAGCCTTATCATTAAATATTTCCCTATTTGAAAGATTAGCTTTAAATGATTGGCAAGTTGTATACATTCCATGTTCTGACTGTTTGATGTGTGTGGTTTCTGCCTTAAGGTCCTCAGGGAATCTAATAAACTGGCTGAAATGGAGGAGCCTCCATTGTTACCGGGAGAAACCATTAAGGACATGGGTAGGTGAAGATTTTTTCCTGTAGTTTCTGGCCAGAGGAAATTGCAGTGGGTTGATCCTCATAAGTGTTCATACTGAACTCAAGTTTTAATGTTGATACTTGCAGAGACAAAAAGGCGCAGCCCATGTATAAGAGAGGGTGTGTCAGCATGCAGGTGTAACAGAAATGCACAAATATTACAAAGGACAGACCCAAAACAGCCCAATCAGGACTGTGCATTCTTAATAAGCGCAGAATGTTAGCTGACTTTCAGTGCAGTGGAAAACCAGCAGAAGGAAAGGATAGAATAGAGTGGTTGGAAATCAGAGCCAGAAGAACATCAGGTCTGGGAGCCAAAACCCATCTGGCGTTCGCAAAGTGGGCATGCCCTGTTCCCCAACCATCAGTCTTTTGTTAGTTTCTATCTTCCGTGTACGTGTAACTTTTTACCCCATTCCAGAAGGTCCAAATGGCTTTCCTAAGGTGTAATTACTAGCAGTGGGAGCCTTAAAATACCTTTTTGGTCCTTTGGCATCAACCCTTTTTCCCAGTTCCGCCCCCCACTAGAAGGGAGCCCCCAAGAGCTTCACGGAAATATTATCCAGCCCTTGGCCTGAAAGGCTTGACACACGTGGGCAGTGAACGACGAAAGCCAATCCTCGCATAGCCGGGATGTCTAGCTCACCCTGTGAAGCAGCCCAGGCATGGCTGCCAATGGGGAAACAGTCTTCCGGTTGAAGCAGGCCGCACTCGTTCTGCCTGCCTCGACAACGATGGTGTCGAACAGCCGTCTCCAGCCAGGGATGCGCTGGGCTCCCGCTTTGCCACCCAGCATAGCCAGTGGTGGGTCCCTGGGAGGAGAGAAGCCATGGTCCAGCATATTTGGAGGGTTCTGGTCTGGAGAAGGCTGGTGTCAAGCCTCAGGTACCCCGTTAAGTCACTTCAGGTCTGGGAGACCGACTGAGAGCAAATGTATTTGATATTATTTCCCTTGACAATAATTCCAAATGCCTGACTGTGGCAACTTTGGATCTATCCATAAAATGGTAATCTGAAATGGAATTTATTTTTGCCATGAAATTTGGGATTTCTTGTGTCAGGAATGGAAGAAGCCGTTGTTCTTGGTGTGTGTTTCAGGGCCAGGGCGACAGACTCTTTGGATGGGGAGGAGGAGCCCTGGGAAGGGAGTCTCCAGACATAGAGATGGTGGAGGCGGAGAAGCTTTTCTCAAGGCCGCTGTCTCCGGGTGTTCAGGCAGATCCTGAGAACCATCTTCAAGTGCCAGGAGAGGGCATGGGACAGGATCCACAAAAGCCGGACAAGACTACTATGATCCTTGACCCTATGACATGGCACCAGAAGAGAAGGGGTAGTCTAGAGGGCCTGTGTACATCTAGGAAGCTTGCCCATATCCAGTGCGGCACTCCCAGGGGTGTGGGATCCAGGGTTATTCAAAAGGTGTGTCCTTGGAAATAGAAACATAGAAACAGAGCGAGTCAGAAGGTGCCTCCCAGGCCATCTAGTCTGACCCCCAGCTCCAGCTGGCTCCACTCACAATTAAAATAGGTTTTAGTTTGGGTACAATGAACCACTCTGTGTGTGCTCAGAGACTCTGACTATGGTTTGCTGGATCTACATTGGAAATGAAGACCATTTGCCAAAGAACCTCTGTTTTGAAAGAGAGAACGGGGACACCTAGTTCCCAACACCTCGCCATTCTTCTTTGGTTAAGGTTCATGTTACTGCAATCTTCTCTTGATGAAACCAACTGAGGACCATGGTGAAGGAAGCACTGATTTTTCCAGTGGGAGGAAACTCACCATAGAGCTTGCTTCACCTCAGAGAGTGATTTCAAACCCCACAGCATCAGTACCCTGTGGTAATATGTATAATATTTTCTTTCCCCAGCAAAAGATGTCACTCACATCTGCCCATTTACTGGAGCTATAAGAGGAACCTTGACTGTCACAAATTACAGGCTATATTTTAAAAGCATGGAAAGGGTAAGACCAAATGGAGTTCTTCTTTTACTGATTCTCACCTGTTCTTTTCGATTTAAGTTAGAAAGGGGCCACTGCTTGGTGACAGAGTCCCTGCTTGGGCTGGGTTAAATTTCTAGACCCTCCAGTGAAACAGAAATCTGTTAGCATTTATCCTTCTAATATTATAGTCTCCATCTTTTAACTCAAGCAGGCACAGAGGATCTTTTTGCCTTGATTTAACTCCCAGAAACCAGGTAGAGATTTAAGAAGGCATGTACATCAGTAAATATTAGTGTTCCAATACAAGGTTTATCTGTATAATAATGTCCTCCCCAAAAGTAAGCAATTATTGGGCAGGGCCAAAACAAATGGATAAAAGAAGCCTTAGCTGTGTCACACTTCCAGCAATTAGTTGACTTAAAGAAACCCTTCTCAAATATAAGTTGTGGTGTCCAGTAGACATGGAACAAGAGTTTTTGCTTTATAAGGTATAGCCTAAGTCCATGAATCCTTTAAATACAGACACTAAAGCAACAACCCAATGTTTAGGAAAAATGGGATACTTCAGTTCCATTTCCGTACTTGCTTAAGACCCTCTGTGTCATATTTATTCACCAATAATAAATATTTATAAACATGGATTGTGAGTCAATAGAACTGATCAGCCTTAATAAGTGCTTCCAGGAGCAAAGGAGACACTGAAGCTGAATAAAGCAAGAGTCAAGCTTAAATTCTAACCGATGTTGCAATTGCAAGGATTGTTGACTCCAAGGATTCCTGGCCATTGATCATGTTGGCTGCAGCTGATGGTAGTTGAAGTTCAAAATAACTGGAAGGCACCAAGTTGAGGAAGCATGAAGTTGGCAGTACTGGGCTAGAGGGGCCAGTGACCAGACATGCTACAAGGCAGCTTCTGGCATTCCTACATTTATTGTGTGGCTAACTTTGTCTCAGATTTGAACTCTTGTCTATTCAAGCTCTGTGTAATCAGCATTATTTCTTCTAGACTTGTCATTAACACATGGCAATCTTTTCCAGAACCCTCCTTTTGTTCTAGACGGTCCCCTTGGTGTTATCAACAGAGTAGAGAAAATTGGAGGAGCTTCAAGTCGTGGTGAAAATTCTTATGGCCTGGAGATTGTGTGTAAGGTATACTGGTGCATCTATAGGTGGTGAATTCTTGAGCCAGAAATGTGGCCCGCTTTGTTCCTAAAATTATAGGAAGCTGGCATTGAAGTGCATTCTTTCTGGCTCTGAAGAGCTCATCATGCCAGAAAGCTTCCATAATAGGAGTCAAACAAGAGACAAGTCCTAGTGTTGAAAAATATTTGGTGGCCATTTAGTCAAACTCCTTTCTCAAAGTAGCAAATCTAGAGCAAGAGTGTCTCCAGTGAAGGCCATCCAGGTTCTGCTTTCAGCCTTCCAGTAAGGAAAGCTGCACCATCCTTCTTAGTAACTGGTTCCCCAGTTGAATTGTTTTGCTATTAAGAAGATGACTAAGCCATGAATATTACTTCTTTTTACTGCTTGGACTATAATGCTGAAGGCTTCAGAAAATTCACATATTTTCAGAGCCTGATTGTCAGTATCAGGTAAAACAGATCCCAGGCCCTTTGGATGTTCAACTCACCAGAACAGCCTACATGGCTTCCTGATTCTCTTTTAATGTAGTAGGCAGTTGCTGTGCTGAATCTCTAGCAAAGTGGCTGTTTTCAAACAATGTTCTGAGAACTGGATGGTCAGGTGTTCCTTTGGAAGGAGCTCAAGAAAGGCTGGCAAGTTCCTCTAAAATACAGCCTAAGAAGGGATTTGTAGAGTTGAAAGAAGTGCAGAAAATGGCAACCTAACTGATCAAGGGGCTGAAGTAACTTCCCTATCAGACAAAGTTACCAAATTTGGGGCTGGTTGTCCAGCCAGGAAAGCAGGATACTGGACCAGAGAGGCCTTTGGTCTGATTCAGAAGGGTATTTCTTATGTTCTTAGATGCCTGCAAGACAGAGGCATGTCTTCCAATCATCCCTAGCAATGCATAAGGAATACAGGGAAATGTTCGACACAGTCTAGGCCATGCTGTCAGGTCGGAGGGGAAACAGTAAGTCCTTAAAGGCCTGCCCGGCATCCTGCATGCATTGAAATGTGGTCTAGAACAAGAGCATATGCTTTGCATGCAGAACATGCCAGGATCAAGCCTCAGAGACTCCACTTAAGAAGATTTCATGTGGCGTTAGTAGGAGATCTCCTGCCATTCAGGGTAGAAAACACTACTGGGGTAGGTAGACACACAGGTCTAGTTAGGCTAGGGCCAGGCTCTAGTTCGTGTAGGATTAGGCAGCTCCATATGGCTATGCCTAAGTCCAAAGATCCTGCATAAAACAGGGAAGGGATTCCTGGAGTATGTGCAGTAGCTCCTGACATGCTGTTGCCTTCATGGAAAGGACTGATTTTTGCTGGACATTTTGCAGGATGTCCGGAACCTTCGCTTTGCACATAGGCCTGAGGGTCGTACAAGAAGATCCATATTTGAGAACTTAACAAAATATGCGTTTCCAGTATCTAATCATTTGGTAAGTGCATCTTCCTGTGAATTTTAACAGTTTTCTATTATCCGGGCAACAAATTTGTCACTATCGTAGGATGAGAACCAATGGAGCCAAATTCTTTCCATCTTGCCAAGGATGACTGTCTCTCTTTGAGCTCCAGTGAGCCTCTAAAAAGAGCTAAAACAGGAGCCCCATTGGTGCTGGGCTGTAGCACTTCATAACACAGCGGATGTGGGACAGGGAATATTTCACTGGCTAAAATTTTAGGTCAGCCTTTTCCCTAACAAATCAGTTTTGGGTATGAGGGGCAGGGGAAAGGTAGCATTTTGCATGGAGGGAGCTGGCAAGCTTTCCCTTCCTCCCCAAGCAGTCTGAAATGGTACAGCCCAGCAAGTAGGTGGCATGGCCTTCCCCCACTGGGTACCCTCCAGATAATTTTGGACTTCCGCTCCCATCAACTCCAGCCAGCATGGGACTTGTATTCCATAAGACACTTGGAGGACACTTGGGGAAGAGCCAAGGTGTGGCTTCTGAGCAGCCATCGGTCTAGTGCTGATCCGTTCCTTGGATGTGTGAACAAATCAGAGACTGAGATGAGTTAAGCATTGCCATGCCAAGACTATTCTGAATAGATCTCTAGGGCAGCCTTCTCTGAACAAGTCCCCTCCAGACCTATAGCACTGTCGTTCCCATGGCTGTGCTGGCTGGGTGATGGAAGTCATAGTCCAATGCATATGGAGGGTACCAGCTTGGAGAAAGCTGCCTGTCGTTTGTCTGTATACTCTGTGTATGTAGTGAAACTGGCACACACCTAACAATCCTCTCATGATTGTGCAGGCAGTTATTTTCTTCCCAGTATGTTCTGGGAAAGAAGTTACCCAGGTCTCTCTCTTAACAGTGAAATGGGAGTCTTGGGAACTCTTATTTCCGAGGCTCCCCAGTGGCGATCCTAAGCATGCTCAGAAGTCCTATTCGTGTCTAAACCTTAAACAGGAAGACACAATGGAGGGAGCAAGCAAGGAAACTTGTGATATCATGACATGAAATTATTAGCTGCATAAAAATTGAAGAAGTGTGGAAGCTGACTTGTAAGTGCAATGTATAATCCAAAGTGGGGGAGTTTGGTTTCTGACACCAGCACCACTTCCAAATATCAGTGCCACCGTTAATTGTAATTTGTTTAGCAACATGAAAAAATGCAACATACCACAGCTGTTTTCAAGAGACAAAATACACAGTATTGTACGTGTCTGTCAGCTGATGTATATAAGGAATATAACCTGAAAGGCAGTGCTATCGTGCCTTAAAAGGTTGCTTTGTAATTAAGGCACTGTAAGATAATTATTTTTAAACCAGTAGCCATCCTAAACCTCCATTCTTCCCTTCCTTCCCATTGGTGATTTAGGAGGTAATAGATCAGAGGACAAAGAAATATGGAGAAATGTGCATTGATGTGCTAATTACAATGTACAAAGACATTTTCTGAGTCTCTCTGCTTTTCTTTCATGCTTCAGTGTTATAGAAACAAAAAGACTGCACAGAAATTGTTATTTGAGATGCCAAGTAAAATGGAAAATAAGCTGAAAAGAGCTGAATGGTTTCTCCCTCTCTTTTGTTTTAAGTCTCTTTTTGCATTTGAATACAAAGAGGTTTTCCCAGAAAATGGTTGGAAGGTTTATGATCCTGTTTTGGAGTACAGGAGACAGGTAAGCACTTCATCCCACCTCTGCCCTGCATTCAGTTCAGAATGGCTAAGTGTGTCCGACGCAGTCACATAACCTCTCTTTAGGGTTGGGAAGCTTCCAGCTGGTAGATCAAAGAAACACTCTTCTCTTTATGTCTGTCTGGGCCAGATGAATTATTATGCTAAGTACCATACAGAATGGGTGGCCAGCCTTTGGCATGGGAGCCATCACTGGGGAATGAGGGGGCTCCTGAATAGGAACAGGAGTGCTTGTTGACTTAGCTGTAGAGGAGGACCTGTTCTCCTGCCTGCCTCCTTTGTGCTTGGCTGTTGCCTGTGCCCTGGTTTTGTAAACCAAATGCAAAATCACCCCAAGGCATAATGGACTGCATCTCTATCACAGAGTAACACTGTCCTATGCTTTATACTGGACATGTATCAATCTTGTCATAAGAGTAATGCATAATTCCAGTGTGGAAAAGTTTGGTGTGGCTGCAGCCCAGTGAAGACAAAAGGTGAAGGCCAACAGGACGAGTCGTGTGTGTGTGTGTTTTGCATACTGGGTGTAGATGGGTGGGTGGGCTTTTTCCCACCTCATAAGCCAGGACAGGGTTTGTTTGTTTCTTTATTTTTCAATTTATATCCTGCCTTTTTCCTACAAAGGGCTCAAGGCAGCTCACATCATTCTCCTCCTCTGTCTTATCCCCACAACAACAACCCTGTGAGGTAGGTGGGGCTGAGAGTCTGTGACTGGCCCAAAGTCACCCAGTTGGCTCCATGGCTGAGTGGGGACTCGAACCCGGGTCGCCTGAGTCCCAGTCCCACGCTCTTAACCACTACACCACACTGGCTCTCAGTGTGGTTCCCTGAGCAATTTACAAGATTATAAAATAAAGAATGAAAGGATAATATTAAAATTGACAAATGATACAGCAGTAAAATCCAGCAATCAAAAAACCAAGTGCCATTATAAAACTTCACAACCCCCCTTTTTTGCCAACAGCAATAAATTATAAAGCAAGATGTAAGGTATTAAAACCATTAAAATTATTTTACCAATTAAAATATTGGGTGAATAACAAAGTCTTTGCCAGGTACCAGAAAGTATAAAGAGAAGGTACCAGGTGAACCTCTCCGGGGAGCTGGTTCCAGAGTTGGGGTGCCACCACCAAGAAGACCCTTCTCCTTGTAGCCACCATTCTTATTTCCCGAGGAGAGGGCTTCTTGAGAAGGGCCTCTGATGAGGAGCTAAGGGGCTGGGTAGGTACATGTGGGAAGAGGCGCTCCTTTAGATTTAAACCCAAGCCATTTAGGGCTTTAAACACAAGTGTCTACACCTTGAATTGGGCCCAGACTTCAGTTAGTAACCAGTGAAGGTGGTGGAACACTGGCTTTATCTGGTCACATCTGCCAGTCCTTGTCCGCAGCCTCACTGCCTATTTCAGACCAATTGGATTTTCTGGACCATCTTCAAGGGGAGCCCCATATAGACAGCACTGCAGCAATCCTGACTAGAGGTTGCCAGCGCATGACTAACTGCTACAAGGTCCTGCCTGTCCACACAGGGGCCGTAGCTGGCAAATCAGCCTCAAATGACAAAATGTGCTCCCAGCCACCAAATCCACCTGGAATTCCAGTGACAATTCAGAGTCTGGGAGCAGCCCCAAGCACCATCTTAGTGACTATAATGTTCAAAATGCATCATCATAGGAAAACGTTTTGCAAATAACATGAACATTAGGCAACAATCGCTTACAAAAATGCACATATAAAAACAACTGTACACACATAAGTTAAATGACTGCAATGCCCTTGAAATCTGTTTGTAAGCTGTAGCTTGTGCAAAATGTGACAGGGAGGCGAGGAACTTGGACCTTAAGGTCTGAATATAGACCTGCATTGGCTGCCCGTATGGTCCCAACTCAGGCTAAAATGCTGGTTCAAACCTTTAAAGCCTTACATAGTTGAGGCAACCTGCTGGCGTGCTTCCTTAACCTGAATTGACCTGGGCACGACAATCTGCATCAGAGGCTTTCTTCCAAGGGCTACCTTGAGAGAGACTCAGGGAGACAAGAAGGGGGACAGTCTTCTCAGTGGTAGCCTCACAGTTATGGAATTTTATTATTTATTTATTTATTTATTTTATTAAAACATTTTTATGCCGCCCCATTCGCCAAAGCCTCGGGGCGGCTTACAACAAAATGATCTCCCCACAGGGGCTGGCCTGACACCAACTTTGCTATCTTTTCAATGCCAGGTTAAAAAAGTCCTTTTTGCTGAAGCGTTCAATGGCACTTCATGGCATAAGTAGGGAGGGTCCACTTGTATTGTGTTTTAGCTCCTAAAATGGTTTTAAATTCTTTTAGAATTCCGTATATTGGAAATTAAACACTGTTTTGTTATATTATGTTTTTGTGTTTTTATGGATTGTTGCGAACCATCCAGAGAGCTTCATCTCTTGGGCAGTACAGAAATGAAATTCATCTTCATTCTTAGGCATAGGATGAATCTAAGTTAGTATTGTTAAAATGGGAAACAGACATCAACATTTGATGATCCCCGATTGGTATACTTGACCACTTTTGGCTCTCATGGTGTGTCAGACACCATTACTGGATGCTCTGCTATTTAAATGCTGAGAACTGAAAACAAACTACCCCTCTGGGATGGGGCAATTTTTTGAACAGCTACTCTTTGCCCTGCAGGGAATTCCAAATGAAAGCTGGAGAATTACCAAAGTCAATGAACGGTATGAACTTTGTGAAACCTATCCTGCTCTCCTAGTGGTTCCTGCCAATATTCCAGATGAAGAACTGAAGAAAGTAGCTACATTTCGGTCCCGAGGGCGCATACCTGTAAGTAGGGGATCCTTGGAGCAAATTCTGCAGGGCAAAAGAGGAGAGGGGCACCTGCTGCATGAGGGGCTTTGTGCAGTGTTGGCCCTCAGCTGGCTGGGGCAAGCTGGGAACTGTAGGGCCTTTTCTGCCCACACAAGCAGAGCGTTACTCCTTTCATTTTTGCTTTTCATTCCTCTTCTGCAAGGTTTTGTCATGGATTCACCCAGAGAGCCAAGCCACGATCACACGTTGCAGCCAGCCATTGGTCGGAGTGAGTGGCAAACGGAGCAAAGAAGATGAAAAATACTTGCAGTCCATCATGGATTCCAATGCCCAGTCCCATAAAATATTCATCTTTGATGCCAGGCCGAGTGTGAATGCTGTAGCCAACAAGGTTGGATGTCACACCTCACACAGCAATTTGCAGAAGTCACAATTTGGTGTTGAACAAGCCAATCAGTGCTCAGATTCTAACCTTGAATTGAATCCAGAAGTAGCCACATCTAAAATAGACCCTCTGTTTTTAGTGACTCTACTTCTGACTACATCTGGATCCAATGCTTGGTATTTCCGTACTTTTAAAATCTGCTAGCTTCTTAAAGTTTCTTAAGTGACTTTACTTGTTTAAGCTTTGTATTTCTTTTAATTATGTCTTCCTGAGAGCTTTGCCTGTTAGACAATTCATGATATGAAATAAACAGTCATTTAGTAGAATCCATATCACCTATGGTGAATCTGTAGAGGTACAGATTCCTCCAAGTCCTGCTGTCTTTAAAGTGGATTTTAGAAAGATTCACTCATTCTATCTTCCATTCATATTTTTGTACTGCTTTTCTATTATTATATACAAACGCAGGCACTGGTAACAAATTGAAGGGAAAAAAATGATCAAATTTTATTCATGAATAAATACAAATCATTCAGCATGACATGTCTGGAATAAGAATAGCAACTATCAAGCAACTAATGGTTAAAATACTTGGTAGAACAGTATTCTAACTTGACCAGTGAAAAATTGAAAAATGTTAGCTAGCAAACCCTGCTCAGGGTGGAGTTCAAGAAAGAGGAAACCCTCCTCTGAATAATCATCGTTTGAGCTTCCTAAGGACAAAGGACCTACAGCAAAGCCTACCATATTGATCTTTACAGCGTGGAATCTGTATGGGAGGAGAACTTTATAAACTCTTTCCTCCAGAGCAGATGCACAGAACATCTATTGGTGCAAGGACCAAATTCTAATTTGGAAAAACTTTTAGGGGATGCATTCCAGTAGTGACCAGAGCTGAAGACAAAAAAGCTGGGAACAAACATACCTGTGTGCTTTAGCTGAAACCTCTTACAGTCAGTACCCAAGCCTCAGAAGAGGCATTTCAAGTTTTCTGAAGCTGGCACACAAAAGCTGGGAAACCACCGAATCACTGGCAGTTAGGGAAAAGTGGGTAGGTCAGCAGACGGCACCATGGTCATCTGTGGGACTCTGGAGGAAAAGGTGTTGCTCTTCCTCACAACCAACCTAACCCTCTTATAGATAGGATCCAAAAATGGTCCTCCTTTACTGATCCTAACAACTATGGTGCTTATTATATGTTGCTACTTGCAAAGTTGTGTCCAACCCATCGTGACCCCATGGACAACATTCCTCCAGGCCCTCCTGTCCTCCACCATCCCCCGGAGTCCGCTCAAGCTCACACCAACTGCTTCAGTGCCTCCATCCAGCCACCTCATCCTCTGCCGTCCCCTTCTTCTTTTGCCATCTATTGTTCCTAGCATCAGGGTCTTCTCCAGGGAGTCCTTCCTTCTCATTAGGTGGCCAAAGTATTTGAATTTCATCTTCAGGATCTGGCCTTCTAAAGAGCAGTCAGGGTTGATCTCCTCTAGGACTGACCGGTTTGATCGCCTTGCGGTCCAAGGGACTCACAGGAGTCTCCTCCAGCACCACAATTCAAAGGCCTCAATTCTTTGGCCCTCAGCCTTCCTTATGGTCCAACTTTCACAGCCATACATTGCAACTGGGAAAACCATTTATTATACAGGGATTATTATTTATATATTAATATATAGGAGTAGTAATTGTTGTTGTTATTTAGAGCAAAGCACTTAGGGTAATTCAGTTTGCAGTTCTGGTGTCTGTCCCTAGATTAAAACAGCCCAATGTGCATTTTCTTTTGCAGGCTAAAGGAGGAGGCTATGAAAGTGAAGATGCCTATCAGAATGCCGAGCTCATCTTCCTGGACATCCATAATATCCATGTTATGAGAGAGTCATTGAGGAAACTGAAAGAGATTGTATATCCTACCATAGAAGAGACTCACTGGCTGTCTAATTTGGAATCCACTCACTGGTTGGAACATATCAAGGTATTTTGGGGTGTGTCTATATGCGTGTGTGAGAGGGAGAAAGAGAGATTTTAACACTTTAGCAGATTCTCATGCGGTGAAACCCTTGCACCCATGCCTTCGAGGTTCATCATCTTTGTGGTTGCTAATATCCAAAGGAGGAACCCAATTCATGTGGCTGGAGTTTTTGATGTAAGAAGCTGGTTGTCAACATTTTTTTCGTTGCATTTTCAACACAAATATCTCCCCTGCAAAATGGAAATGGTCATAACCTATCACCACATTCTTTCCCAACTGGGGATGAGGACAGAGAGGTAAAACTGCAACCCAAATCAAATGGAATCTCCATTTAATCCTATGTAGAGTGGGCCCATTAAAATGCATGGAACTTTTAATTATGATTTCACTGGTCTTTTTTGTTATTTTTGAATTTATTTTTATGCCTATATTGCCCTATTGCCAAAGCTCTCTGCTTTAAGTAGGTGGTACTACTCTAAGCCAGACTAAATCTGGCTCCAACCCATTGAAAAGGAATAGAGTGAGATATAAGTTTTAAATACAAATGGGCTGATTCTTTGGAAAGTAGGATGTGGGCTAGTATTTTGTCAAATGCAGACATCAAGCTATAGCTGTGCTTTAAAAAAAAAATATACGTAATGATCCGTTGTGGAAGAACCACTGTCATTCAAATCGCCTTCCTTTTCTTTCTTTTTCATTTTTGTTTTTTTTCCTCACCTGGATGCACTGGCATAAAATCAAGACTTTTGTCCCACTTTTAATCACCCTTGTAGAGTAGATAGGGCCATTCTTCTCCATCTCTGATGAACATCACAATTAAAGAATTGCCCTTCCTCACCAGCTCATCCTCGCCGGCGCCCTTCGGATTGCAGACAAAGTGGAATCCGGGAAGACCTCGGTGGTCGTTCATTGCAGCGACGGCTGGGACCGGACTGCCCAGCTCACTTCGCTCGCTATGCTGGTGCTGGATGGCTACTACCGTACGATACGCGGCTTTGAGGTGCTGGTGGAGAAGGAATGGCTGAGTTTTGGGCACAGATTCCAGCTGGTGAGTTGGAACCTCTGGAGTGGCAGAAAGAAGCACCTGTCCCCAGCCTTGCTTTGAAATGAATTTGAGCAAACCCAGACAAACGGTGAGATTGACAGATCCCTGAATGAGTTCCAGTGGATCAGCAAACATTTCTGATTCCAGATTGTCTAGCAGTAGCAACAACTAAAAATCTGTTTTCCTTCTAAATTGCTAAAAAGGGACGGTTAAGGGAAAATCAGGAGTGGGTTTCTGTGTGAAAGAAACTGTGAGCTTGGTCCTTCCAAGAAGAAATGGTTGTGCTTTAGGGAACCTTAAGTGTGGGTGTTTGGTACCTTGTGTTTGGTGTGTAAGCTGAATGATTCCTCTCTATATATACTCACTCTCTTGTCTCTCTGTCTCTCTCTCACACACACTGCAACTGTTTCCCTTGCATTATTTCAGAGAGTAGGACATGGAGATAAGAATCACGCGGATGCAGACCGATCTCCTGTTTTTCTCCAGTTTGTGGATTGTGTCTGGCAGATGACAAGACAGGTAAATTTTTGAGCTTCTATAAGGGTGGGAGGAAACCCTGGAAGTATTAGCCCCCTTTAGCAAATGTAGGCTGAGCCTTTTACTTTTCTGTGTGTCACCAATGGTGAAATATCCCCATCACCTGCAGACCAGTGCACCCTGGAACATGCAAAATGAGAAGGGGATCCCGGGGAAGAGGAGGCAATTGCTTCCAATGGCAGCTGAAACGTGGAAACATAGAAATAAAGCGAGTCAGAAGGGACCTCCTGGGACATCTAGTCTGACCCCTGGCTCCACTCTTGACATGCCTACCTGAACTGTGGCAATGGAGGAAACAAAATGGAGCGGGCTCTTGGAAAAACAAAATGCCCCTATTCAGGGGTTCTTTGTGCAGTTCACCAGATACATGGTAGAAAAATGGGGTGGGTTGTTGGTTTCATGCCATACATATGAACAGGTTGATGCTGGAAGGGGGAGCCTTTTGGTCTCATCCATTAAAGCAGACCTACGTTCACAGAAGCATCTTAAGTTGCCTTTATACAGAGTCGGACATTGGCTCCTCTTGCTCTGCATTGTTCTTGTCCTGTATTGTAGGGAAGTCCGCATTCCTTGTGGGGTGCAGAATGAGAGTCATGAGGAAAGCGTTGTGCCCCTGCAGCAAGCAGATCAAAACACAAAGCGGGCAGACCCAGCCAAACACAAACACATGCATTCACACACATGCATGCCATGCGCACACCGTCTTCTCTCTCCTTCGCACTGGCATGTTCTCACATGCTCTCACTCACATATTCACACCCCCATACCTTCCCTTATATAAGCACGCCTTCCTCCCTCTTTCATACATGCACGTTCTTATATATGCCAGTCTCACATAGGCACACACATACGTGCTCCTTCTCACACTTTTCTTGCTCTCTCACTCTCCCTTGCACAAACACACACAGAGTGGAATGGGGCATGCCTAAAGAAACTAGAGGTTGTAGCTGGGACCTTCCGGCCACAATTTGCATGTTCTACCGATTTTCAGCCCTTTGCAGAGCTGCATTTGGCTGGAATATGAAGCAAAAGCATCCTTTATGGCCTCTGTATTGCACTCACCGGATATGTAGTGTAGTTTATTTCTTGCTTTTGGAAAGCGATAGTACCTTTTCTTAAAGGAGACCTTGCTAGGCTGGAACACAAACACATTTGTCAGTGGGACTCAGGAGAGGGACAACACTTTTCTCCTCCTCACCCTGCAGACGCTCTTCTTTCCTTCCCCACCCTGCTAGTGTAAACCCCTTGCGGGAGTGTGCTTTCATGGGGTGTGCAAAACATGTCCAGTGATGCAAACAATTGGCCTTGCTTGTCTTCTGAAGTTTCCCACAGCCTTTGAATTCAACGAGTGCTTTCTCATCACCATCCTGGATCACCTCTACAGCTGTTTGTTTGGGACATTCCTCTGCAACAGCGAGCAGCAGAGGGTGAAAGAGGTACCAACCGTCAAAAATGCCTTGTTCCCCTCCTCTCCCTCACTGCCACCACCTCTAGCTTCTCCTTCCTTGCTTTCTAAGTGGGTGGAAAATGGTTAGAAGACTGAGAATCTTGCCCTTCTTTTAGTCATGTATTTCCTTATGGTGGGTTGGATCTAGATTCAGGCATACTTAGAGGAAACCCATTGACATCAACGGGACTTGAGCAGGGACGCTGTCAAAGGAGGCTTGGTCAGGCACGAGCCAAGGACTCACAGCTGAGAGGGGCCCATGGGGGAATCCTGTGGAACGGCCGCCCCTCCTCTCTTCACGGCTGGCTTGTTCCCCCACTTCTTGCTCTGACCCAGCCAAAGGTGGCCGTGGAGACCAGGAGATGCCTCGGCCTCCTGCTCACCAGGTCTTTTCCCATCCAGCAAGCGAGTGAGTGCAGTGTTGAGAACGAGGGGAGTCTGGTGGCCGTGGTGGACTCACCGAGGCAGAGAGCACCATACCCGGAGGGATCCAGGGGTTGCTCCAGCCCTGCCCTGGAGGAATGGATGCATTTATAGCGTGCCTGGGGGACCCATTGCCCTTTCAAGCCTGGGGTGGTCCTTTTCTATGTAGCCGCTGTCCGGGTTTTCTGCAAAGAGCTGCTGGACGTCAGCGTTCCACAGAACTTCGTGACAGACATTCATGTTTCTCCGAGATGCCCCAAGGAAAGCATTTTCTTCCCACGTTGCTTTTCAGGATCTTCTCAAAAGAACAGTGTCCCTGTGGTCCTACATCAACAGCCAACTTGAGGACTTTACCAACCCTCTGTATGCCAACTACAGCAACCACGTTTTGTATCCCGTGGCCAGCATGCGCCATCTAGAGCTTTGGGTTGGGTACTACATCCGGTGGAACCCACGGATGAAACCACAGGTGAGCGTTTTGATCAAAATCGGGGGCATGAGGTGGTCTCTTTTTTGGACATTCCTGGCCGTTGCAGTTCCAAGAAGCAGGTTTCTGACCCATTTGCCACTGAAGCACGTTTGGTGACTTTATAATGAGACCATGTCTTTTCTATTTCAAGGATCAAAAACTACTCAGTGTCCTGAAAAGGGTGTCAAATTCACCCCTCTGACTGATTCAGTACACAATTATGACTTTTGTTTTAGAGCAAAGGTTGCTAGGGAATGTCTTAACTGCCCATTTCAGGTATATTTCACACAAATCGTGTAATATGAACCAATTCCCTTGTTTTGTTCGGCTTGGCTTGCCATTTTGGCTTTTTGCTCCGCTCTGCTCTGCTCAAGAGCCAGTGCATTAGCCTTGGTCAGGATTCAGGACCAGTGCTCACTGGGAAGGGAGGATTAAACTTTCCCCTCCTCCAAATGCTTCCTGAAATCCTGCCCACCCCCTATCCCCTCATGCAAGAATTAAAAGAGAAATTTTAAAAAAACCCTGTCCCACTTCTCTAAAACCACTAACTAGGAGAGGGGCGAAATTTTGGAATGGCTTAGTCCTCTCCTTCTAATGTGTACCAGTTCTGATACAAATTGGGGATGTATGCACTTACTCTTGAGCAAGACATAGATGCTCTCCAACATGCTCTGCCATGCATGTAATGTGCAGTTTGACCCTCAAACACCAATTTGCATGTTCACAACACCCCACTGGCTGATAGGATCATGCAACACAAGTGCTTACTCTGCTGTGCTGGCTTCCAGTCTGTTTCTGAGACCAATTCAGGCTGGTGGTGTTGGCTTTAAAGTGCAAACCGCTTGGGACTAGAACATCTAAGCAACTGTTTCCTCAGATATGTATCAGCTGGGACTCTTGCATCATCTTTGGTGACCCTCCACCCAAGCTGGGGATGGCCACAAAAGAGAAGGCCTTCTCCATTGTGGCACCCCAATTCATCTGCCTAGGGAATGCTGGTTATAGAGTGAATTAAAACTGTAACAAATAAATAGGTAGGGCGCCACAACAGAAGGCCTTCTTGTCTCATAAGAACAGCCATACTGGATCAGCCAGAAGCCTGCCAGTGGTCAGCAAGATGCTTCTGGGGAGTCCGCAAGCAAGACTTGAGGGCGAGGGCCTTCTGCAGTTGTTCCAGCTTGCTGCCTCTGATCCTGGGTATATCATGGAGCCGCCATGACTAATGCAGGGCAAACATTTCACCCGGCTTCATTCTGTAGTTTGAAATGAAGAGCAAGGCTTTCAGTGTATATATACAGCAGACGTTCTTTTTAGAAGTCTTGATTCTGTTTTTAGTTCAGGTCCTGCACACCCAGCTGCTGATCACATGTGGAGCTAAGCCAGCCATCCCCAACTTGGTGCCCTCTGGATGCTTGGGGCAACACCTCCCATCATCTCTGATTACTGGCCATGCTGGTAAGAGCTGATGGGAGTTGTAGGCCAAGAAAATATTGGAGAACCACAAGTTGCCCACCACTGCTTCAAAATGTACTCTGCACATGTTCAGGGGTACTGAACCTTGACACGTGGTGCATCATATCCATGGGGGCAGGGAGTATACCCTACCCAGCAATACACCCTGGGTTGGCCCCCAGTGTCTTTGGTATACTCTCCTTTATTACTTAAGCATGTGCCATGTTCCTATATAATTAAGCTTCTTATTTTGAGCACTGAAAATTGGTTCTGCGGCTGAAGTCCCGCCTGTGGTGATCCAGTTTGCTTTCCCAAGAACTGAGCACAGTGCTTCTTGTCTTGCTGCCAGGAGCCGGTGCACACCCGTTACAAGGAGCTCCTGGCGAAACGAGCAGAGCTCCAGAAGAAAGTGGACGAGCTGCAGCGAGAAATTACCAACCGCTCCACAGCGTCTTCTGAGAGGGCTGGCTCTCCCGCTCAGTGTGTTACCCCAGTCCAGACTGTGGTCTAACATGGCAAAGACATTCGAATCCCTCCAGAACCACGTTGCAAGGCAACCTCTTTGGGAAAGGAGACTTTACAGAGAGATCTCTGAACTTCGGATGGCACCCATCCTGGTGTCTAAATGCTTTATTTATTGTGCTTCTTCCCTCCAGCGGTATTTTATTGGGGCTATAACACTACAGAAAGCAAAAGCTTTTTTATTTTGAAGGGCCTCCTATATAATTAATCTTCTTGAGGGATGATTAGAAGGAAACTGACTGCATTGGCCTCCCAAATCAAAACTAGAACACGGAGCTCAAGGCATTATGCCAGCTGTCCCCAAGCCGGTGCCCTCCATGTGTGTTGGACCGCGACTCCAACATGTCTGGGAAATGTCTTGGCTGGCTAGGATGGGAACTGCTGTTCAACACACACGGACTGCAACAGAAATGGGAGGGCTGCCTTGAGCAGTGGGTTTTGCTTTGACCCGGAAAGCGGGCACATGCACTGGAAGCATGCGAAGGTCAGATCATGGGGCCGGAATGCAAAGAGGGGGCCCGCGGGGATGAGATCTCCTGACGTGCGCCTGGGATTTGCTGAGCAACCATCCCACCGTTGCTGCGTGACAAGCTGCTCCCAAGACTTCAGAGGAACTCAGTGCTGGGCTGCCGGTCAGCAACAACGCCTCCATCCTAGGAGCAAGTGAAGAAAGCAACGCTAGTGCATGTGTACCTGTGTAAGAACGTGTGCAATTCTAATTGTTGTCAACAAAGGGATTTTCTGGTTTTGGTCCCCCACAGTGGAGAGGAAGAGGGAAAATCAAGAACCCAAAAAATTAAGTGGAAGGGCAGGGCAGGCATGAGCGGTTGCTGTCTCTCCTTGCAAAGGTAGCGATGCTCTGTAGGCCCTGCTTTTGCTGTCTTTTATAGCTGTGAAAGAAAGAGACGTGGTGTAGGAGGTTCACAGGGGTTCAGCATTCTGCCTGCTCCTGATCTCAGAGGAGATGGCTAGCAGCATCCATCCGTCGTGGGAAATGCGGGTGTTCTGCTGAAAATTAAATTCTTGCTAGACTTGGGGCAACAGCTGGTGGCTCAGTGGAAAAGTCGAATTCCTACCTTTGGGATTTTTTTTTAAAAGGGGGAGTTGTTGCAAAGTGTTGGGCCTTTATATTGATGAAGGTCCAGGTACTATTTGCAGGCAATTTGCTATAACATATAGTTAGCCTTCATCTTGTGGTAAAACAATGCCTTATTTAATCGAAGCAAAAATGTTGTATTAAATGAAAGTGTTTGGAAACAGGGTTTCCATGTGGCATCCACTTCATCTAAAACTAGAGACATTCTTAAGTCCAAGTTTCTCTACTGGGGCATTCTCAGGGTGTTTTGGACTACATCTCCTATCTTACATAACCATTGGTGGGAGCTGATGGAAGTTGTACTACAAACCAATAGCAGTAACCATCATTCACTATGACACTAATGTTAAGACAGCGGACCTGGTTAGTACATGATGACAACCCTGAGTATAAGCTGTTGAATTGCGGGTTGCATGTAAACCCTGTGCCATGGTTGAACTATGGGTTGTTAACCATGAAAAACCGAGGAAATCAGCCCATGGTTTGTTATTGGGTTCTGAACTCTGGGTTATTAATGGTTAACAACACACAGATAGACCATAGTACAGTGACTGCATGTTATAACTACCCACAATTCAACAGCAACCCATACTCTGGGTCGTCATTATGTGTGAACCAGGTCACTAAGGGGCACCAAGAAAGGGTGCCATCCCCACCTGCCAGGACACTTCCCTTTGCTTTCCATTGTCTTTCCAAAAAACAGCTACAAAGCTTGCCCTTTAAAGGAGGGGGACATTTGGGGGGAAAGCTGTACTTGCATGTTCACAATGATCATGTTCGTTATATTGACCTTTCTGCACTGGGTTGGTGAAACTAATTATAAAAACTTTATTGTGAAGTGAGAGCCAGTGAGTGGAGTAATTCTCTTTTCTGATAGCCAGATATCTGTTGTTTGACTCTTCAGCAGTATGCCTAACTTGGTGCCCTCCAAAGGTGTTGGACTACATCCCCCTTCATCCCCAGCCAGCACTGGCCATGCTGGCTGGAAATGATGGGAGCTGAAGCCCAGCAGATCCAGAGGGCAGCAGATAGAACAGGCTGCTCTGTGGCATTGTTACCGTGATTTGAAAAGAGAGTGCTGTGCGTCTCTGATGTAAATCTGTGGATCTTCCTTCTTCAGCAGGTGCTCTCCAGATGTTTAGGGGCTGCCACTTCCATCTTTCCTGGCCAGTGAGGCCATCCTGGCTCGCATGAGTCAAGGTCCCCGAACACCTGGCTGGCACCAGGTGGAGGAAGGCTGCTGTAAAGCCCCAGCCTTTAGCAGTGTATGTGCTTGCAGATGTGGGTATTTCATGATCCCTCGCAAAGCCCTTCTGTGCCAAAAGTAACCTCAGATTGCCAGCACCCTTTGTATGTGCTAGAAACAAGAGGAGAACATTGTGCCAGCAGGTTGGTGCTGACAGTATTGACAAGCAGAGTAAGGCAGATGCTGGTAATTTTCATGACCCTCCAAATTTTACCAGGCTACAGTTCCTTCCATTCTTGAACATTGGTGATGCTGGCTGAAGCAGATGGGAGTCCAAGTCCAAAACAACTGCAACTGCTGGATAGCAGCACTGCCAGACAAAAAACCTCAGTGTGCTAGAAAATATATTTATTCCAGGCCTGCCGCATGTTGGATAAAAAGTCCTTCAGGGCTGTGCAGCAGCAATATCAAGTAGGAGGGACATCCTGCCACACTCCACCTTTCTTTTTACCTCCAACAACATCTGGAGTCTAGCTGTATCTAGAGGACTAGTGGGTCCCCCTTCCTGCCATAAGAAGTGGCCCTTTGGTTGGGCCCAAGGCCCACAGGGGCCTCAGCAACATAGAACCTGCTTCCTGTCCCCCAACCCAGCTGCTTGTTAAAATTTGCTGATCATTAATGAAAAGTATAGCCATGGCCCACTCATCTTCTGTTCCCTAATGGTGCTGGGGATGAATCACTTGCCTTCTTTCTGGTGGGTTTATTTTGCATGCAAACACAGGCAGGGCATCCCTTTCCTTGCTTTCCAGCTGTTCCACCTAACGTCTGAAATAGGTGAGCTCTACTGAAGTGCAACACTTTTTGTCTTGCTTCCACCTGAAGAAGCGGCAGGTCCAACTCTGCACTTAAATCCAATTGCTTTTTCCTGTAGCAATAAAGCAAGGCACCCACTAGCTTGTGCAGCTGAGGCCATTTCAGCAGATGCAACTTGTCACACCACAGAATCGCCAAGGTGCGGGTGGCCTGGAAGCATGCCAGGTCTTTGTTTTAAATCCATAGTTTCTGCTCAAAGATTTAGGAAAGGACTTCACATCTCCTAGCATATTTAAGAAGATTTGAGTAGAAGAACCAAGTCCTTTAATTTTCACTTCTCATCACCCTACCCATGTCAATGGTTAGAAAATGGTGGGAGAGGAACCATAAGCCCATCACCGAGTTCAGACAACACAATAACCCACAGGTTAAGAGTGGCTTGTTAAACTGTATGTTGTAACATGAATTTTCATGTTGTCTGAACTCAACTGTGCTAACAATGGTTTGTTAACCGCAAACAATCCATGAAGAGGACCATGGTTTGTTGTGAACTTCAGGTTGTTAACTATGGTTTGTTATCTTGGCTGGGTTTGGACAACGCAATCTCCTACATTTCAAGAACAACCCATATGCAGTGTAAGCAGACAAGCAACCCTTGAGTGTTGGTTACGCTGTTGGAACCCAGTCCATGAGCTGTAATATGCTTCACATTCAGAAGGACCCTCATTCATTGCCTGGCATCCTCAGTGAAAGGATGGGGAGGCAGATGATGGGAAGGTCCTCTGCTTGAGATCTAAGGGTGGTCCTACCAGTCACTAGACATTATTGGATTAGACGGACAGAGGCTGATGTGGTACAAGTCATACAGACACAGGGGGCTAATCTATAGGACACCTGCTGCCCAGGGCCAAGCACTTATTCTAGTTCTTGTTCTTATTCCAGACCAGTGTCCTCCCTTTCTCATGGCAAAGTGGATTACAGGATAAAGAAAGGGGACACAGCCTCTCCAATGTGGAACTTTTCAGATGTGTTGGATAATTTCCATCAGCCCGAGAGAGCATGGCAGATGGTTAGGCGCGGTGGGAGTTGTCATCATCTAGAGGGCACAAAATGAGGAAGCTGGCAGAGATCTCCTCACCATCACATATTGAAGAATGCGGCAACAGGAGGCGGCAAGGCAGAGGGCCCCAAATAGAGTCAGTTTCTGAGACATGAGGCTCTGCACTGCCCTCCTCTAGGCTTTAGAAGCTAATTCTAAAGCAGCCTTCCCCAGATTGGGTCTGTCCGGTTGTTTTGGCCTGCAACTCCCATTTGTGGTCTAAAACCAGAGCCTTCAGCACCCTCCAGATGTTGGACTTCAGCTCCCCAACATCCCTGACCCAGCACAGCCAGTGGTCTGGAACTCTGGGAGTTGTAGCCCTGGAATCAGCCAGGTTTAGGATGGATGTTCTAAAGCGGTGATTCCCAAAGTGGATGGAACCACCCCCTGGGGGTGGCAGACAGATCCAGGGGGGCGGTAATTGGTTTGTTTAAATTTGCAGTAGATGATAGACCTAATGCAAAGAAAGAGGTATGGGGACACTAGAGTTGTTGCCCAAGAAGAAAGGGGGCAGAAGCCCAAACATGTTTGGAGACCACTGTTCTAGAGAAACCCAGGTTGGAGAAGGCTGTTCCAGAGTCCTGGATTGTCAATGCTTTCTACTTGCCTATGTTTTTTTCTAGCTGCTTTTTCCCCACATCCTTCTAAACTTCTGCCTGACAAATGAAAGCCAATCACTCCAAACATCTCAGCATCGCATTGGAGGCAGAGGTCCTGGTAGACAAGCATGGGACCCCTCTGGACTTTATAAAGTGTAACATTATGTTCTTTTATTAGCCACAGCATCTGTTTGTATTATTCAGACGCAAAACGCACAAGTATTCCTTTGTGAAGTTGTGATGGTGATGTAAAGATGCAAGAGTTTGTGATGGGGTAGGATTGCTGGGTCTGTATATGCAGCAGAATGAATGCGTAAGAGGGGATTGTGCCACTTCAGTCTGCAGCTGAAGGATGATGTTTTTAAAGGGTCCCTCTGATTTTTTTTAAACCTCCCAGCAAGTAAAGACAACAAACCATCTACCATGCCAGGAAACAAAAGCCCACCTGGTGTGCAAATTTGCTAACTGCAGGGTTGCTTTTCAAGCAGGGGGCATTTTAAAAAATGGGACTCTCTCCAGTCTGAAGTTGTCCAATCAATTGTACCATTCCGCTTCATGTAAACCAAAACCTACTCAGTGGATCACCTGACTATATGAGGTTACTGTAGATAAGCCCACCCTAACCTGATGCTTCCCAGATGTGCTGGACTAAACTCTCCTCACCCCATGCTGGCCAGGAGTGACGGAAGCAATGCTTAAACACATCTGGAATGCAGCAGTTTGGGGAATGCTGCCATAGTGGACAGCTTTTCTGTATGTAACTGTTTTGTTCTGTTTTTTAACATGATGCTGGATTGTGTATGGTCTCAAGGAACGAGGCATCATAAACTGAATACCCAAATGTTCGCTGCCTGTCTTGTACTTTGCTGGTGCTTTCCCCAATTACAAGGAACAAGGAATTTTGAATACAGAACATACAGGGTCCCATTATCCAAAGACCACTGTACATTTCAGGGTCTGGTATCTATGGGATCTGATCATGAGACGGATTGATTCTGTAAGGAAAGCCAGGGCCTTGAATTTACAGGTGCTGAGTGGGACTGTGAAGGACAGAACATTCATTCATGGGGTTACCTTATGATAGCACATAACATATACAGGATGAGTAGATGGTCAAATTTCTCTGCCTTTTTAAAACATGTTTCATTACAATTACATCCCAAGCTTACATGGGGTCCTAGTGGTCTCCTATTCAAGGGAGTGACCAGATCTACACCCAGGTGGTATTCCCAGACTAATCACTGGGCCTCCACTAGGCAGCCATTTGCTACAACTAATACAGTGGCACCTTGGCTCACAAACTTAATCTGTTCCAGGACTCTGGTCGTTACCCAAATTGGTCGTGAGCCAAGTTAAATTTCCCCATAAGGTTCAATGTAAATAAGGTTAATCCGTTCTGTAACTATTTTTTTAATCAGAAAAATGTGAAGAAGCAAAGTGACAAAGAACAACAAAGATCGCAGCCATCCCCCCGCCACCCCCCAGCAATACCACGATCGCACACGTCATCCCTGCATGTGCCCGTCATCCCAGCACGCTGGGGGGGTGGGGGGGAGATGGGCGCGAAAGCAGGCATGCTGGTGGGGGGAGACAGGAGCGAACGTGGGACTGCTGGGGGTGGGGAGAGACAGGCGCGATCGTGCTGCGGGTGGGGGGGGGAGATGGCCGAGATCGCGGTTGCACTCATGCAGGAAAGACGGGTGCGCTCGTGGCCATCCTCCCCCTGCCCCCAGAACGATCACGGCCATCTCCCCACTCAGGGTGGGGGGTGGGGAGATGGCCACGATTGCCTTCACCACCCAATGTGGAGTTTGCGACCTGAATCAAAATTGTTATGACATTTTTGCCCAGGACCCAATTTGGTCGTGAACTGAGGCGTTCGTGAGCAGAGATACCACTGTACTATGACACTGCCCTGTTACGGCTGGAGTGATCGCTTATTTTCAATACACAGAAGGCTGGCCAAGGTAGGACCTTTCCACATCCTGGCACAATGAGTGGGACAACTATGAGCTCACGGTTGCACATGAGGCACAAGCCTGTTCATAGAAGAGGACCTAGTACTAACATACTCTCTTAACTTGGCATATTTAACAAGTTTAGTGATAGCTTTAACTACAAGTACTTGAATTTCAGACACCCTTTCCAGTCCAGTGATGGAAAGGATTAAAAATACCTACAAACATTAGGTTTTAAAGCAATTTGTGCCAGCATTTAAACCTTAGGAGAGACATTTTAACCTTGTACCCCACACAAATGCCAAGACACTCTGAGAGAATCCCTGCTTGAGCGAAAGAGGATGGGGCCTAGAGAAGTGGACCTATGTGGCACCCCATGGGGCAATATTAGCCCTCACATTTAGCTCACAGGCACGGATTCCTCTGCCCTGGTTTAGCAGAAGAAATGCCACCATATACAACTTTGGTTGTTATGAATTCAGAATGTTCCGCAATTCTGCTAACGTGTAAAGATTTGGAAGATTAGGTGGGTGTGGAGAACAGCTTGATAAGTTGCAAATATTTAGAAGGACATCAGAGGCCAATTGTCAGATAGTTTGTCCTGTATTGCATTAAACAAGCTATCTGCACCCATGAACAACGCAGGAAGGATCACAGTGAAACTACATGGATTCAAGGGCATATTTTAGATGGATGGCCCTGATTGCCCAATGGGTACCTGTAATGCAGGACAGTAGCTTTGGTTTGATAGCTGCCCATGCATCCAACTCATAATTAGACAGATCTGGAAATCAGGTCCACCACTCTGCCATCCGCTCCAAGGTAGTGGCGAAACCAAAATGAACCGCAGGATGGAGACCTTAGCATAGGCATGCTGCCTATATTATACATCTGGTAAAAGGTGGGAGTAACAGTGGCGATTTTCCAGGCATGTTGGAACTTGAGGGAACATGGAAAGCCTTTAACAAACATGCGAAAGGTGTTTTATGCATCAGCATGATGCACTCCAGCAGTTGCTTTCTGCCCATGACGTGAAGATAGTCATTTCTGGTCCTGTTTCTCACATCTTTATTGCATGACTTCCCCTCCATTTCATCACCACATCAGGAAAAGCTGCAGCTGCCCAATTATGACCTTTCAGGCAGGTACACGGATCTATGGAATGCGCTCCCCAAAGAGGTCCGCCTGGCGCCATCGTTGTTTGTTTTTCGACGCCAGAAGAAGACCTTTTTATTTAAACGCCATTTTAATTGTTAATATTATTTATTTATTTTATTTTTATGGCCAGGACGTCTCCAGTTATATTGTTTTATATTGTTATTATTTATTTATTGTTGTAAGCTGCCCCGAGGTTTAGGTGAATGGGGTGGCATAGAAGCATTCTAAATAAATAAATACACCTGAGTGCTCCTGTTCCTCTGATTTCTTGGTACAAGGAGGCATTTATTCATCTAGATTATTCATGATCTGCCCTTCATTGCAATCCTGAGGATCAACTCAATGGGCTATGCTTAAGGGTGACATGTTGTGCCCTAGATACGTGTTGTAAAGCAAAATAAGGAAAATGAAATGAGAACAAGGCAGCTGCAGCTCCATCTGTCTTCTCTATAGTCCTGCCCCCTGCCTTCCAACAACACCTAGAGGCCTTTCCCCAGACACCTGGAATACAAAGTGAATTTGTATTCCCCATGGCCTCATCCAGCAGGCCACATTTGGGGGCTGTGTCCCACCTGACCAGGTAGCACATCAACCAAAGTAAAAGGATCAGTCCTTGAGCCAAGCTGCTTTTCCTTCAAATATTACAGTAGAACTCAGAAAGTGGACATCCAAGAGCAAGTTTCCCACCTAATGGATTCAATTAGCAAGTTGCCTTTATTGGATTCCAATCAAACATCAAAAAGCACAGGCAATTCTGAGTCACGTCAGTACATTCCAATCATTGGAAAGCCTTTACATTATTAATGTAATAAATAACTATGTGTCAGGGTGGGGCCTTGGTATGTAAAAATGGGAGAGTACCATGACAGCCACCAGATCTTGTCCAGTGAATAATACTTTCAAGTTAAAAACAAGCTGCCAGCATGATCCACACGGTTATTTTAAAAAGAGAACACGCACCGATCTCACACTCTTCTGCAAAGAGGTCAAAGAAGAGATGGCTTCTCAGTCCAAATGGCTATTCAGTTCCATTCTTAATAACACACTATTAAGAATCCACAGGGGAAAAACACTTTGGAGAAAGAATCCTTAAAGGTAAGCAGAGGTTTTAAAAAGGGCAAAGCATTTGATTGAAAGGGACTGCTAACTTGTTTGAAACATTTCAAAATGCAAGCATCCTGCAAAGAGCAACCAAATCGGCAATTCAGTGTCCGGCATTAAAAGGGGCTATGCAGAAAGCTGTTTAAGATGAACGATGCATTTTAAAAGGGCTGAAAGACAGTACAATAAAAACCATCACTGCGTTATGGTGTGTCTTTTATCCCACTTTCATCTTTAGCCAAAAACAGGCTCACAAAGCCAAGCAAAACCCTGCGAAAGCTGTGCATCAGAGGCAAAGAGACCTCCACTGTGTACCACCCTTGACTCCGCAAAAAACCCTGCTGCTTGTCTCCAGCCTTAGAATAAAGAGTTGCTCTAGGCGAGTGATTCAATTCATCGCTTGAGGCAGAGCTGCAGCGTGAAGAATAACACTGCACCCTGAAGGGATCGGTCAGGTAGCCAAATAAAGTTATTCCCCACAACCTTTCCCCCAGGATTAGGGCTGTAATGTGGTCAGGTCTTTAGGAGGATTGTACAGGTTTGTTTAGAAAGTGCAGCCATTACATAGTCTTTTCCCCAGTTGGAAAACTGGAGCCAGGACAAGATAAAAGGTGCAAGCAAGAATTACACAGCAAGACGCTTCAGCAGTCCCAACTGACATCATCTTTCTGAAGAGAGGTTTGGATGCTCTGCATTTCCCTCAGCAACTGCAGACTTTTCCTTCCCCGCTCGCCTGGTTTCCCCTTCGGGCCGGAGCCTTTCACCTTTACGGCTGCAGGCGCCGGTTTTCCTTCACCCCCTCGGCGTGACTCATGAGAACCATACTGCTTGGCCTTCCCTTCCTTCTTGTGTTTCTCCAGCTAGAAAGAAAACAGAAAAAACAGCAATCCGGTATTGCAGAAAGATGGGGCCATAAAATATCCGTTCCCCTTTCCAGTCCAAATCTTTGCCAGTCATGTCCAATCTCCTTTACCTGTTCTAAGGGAAACATATTTTCCTTTCCTAAGGGAGATACGGGGGACTGAAAGTGGGGAAGTGGTTTAAACCGCTGTGCTGCTGGGCTGGTTGATCGAAAGGTCGCTGGTTCGAATCTGCACAACGGGGTGAGTTCCCGCTGCTCGGTCCCAGCTCCTGCCAACCTTGCAGTTCGAAAGCATGCAAATGCAAGTAGGTAAAAATGTACCACTTCGGTGGGCAGGTAACAGCGTTCCGTGCACTTCGGTGTTTAGTCATGCCGGCCACATGACCACGGAGACTGTCTGCAGACAAACGCTGGCTCCCTTGGCTAGGAAACGGAGATGAGCACCACCCCCTAGAGTCAGGCATGACTGGACTTAATGTCAAGGGGAAACCTTTACCTTTAAGGGAGATGCAGATGTTCCAGGCATGTGCAATGGGCCAAATCCAGTTCTCCAGGGCTCCTCAGGTGGTTCTAAGCCCTCCCCACACTGATGTTTTCCCATCTTTTGCACAGTTCATAACCACCCTACCCAGGGCATACAGAAAGGCCAGAATGCCTCGCCTGAGGATGAGTTACTGCAAAGATCAGTTTTAAGCTTAACTATGCTGGATTTTGGATTCTGCTTCTGTATCTAGATCTGCTCAGCTCTGGAATGTGCCCCATGCCGAAGCCAAGAGATTCTCTGGAATGGAATTCAGCCCTTGAGGTGAAAGAAGTTCCACATTCCTGCTATATCCTACACATGCTTACTACAAATCATGTTTTATCTTCTGTGCAGGGAGTTCCTCATTTTCTCCCATTCATGACAAAAGTGGATACTGAGGGAAGCTTCTGGGACAGCTTTTCATGTTTAAAGATCAAGTTTCTTAAAGTCATTTTTTAAGTCCCAAAGCCAGGCATGCTGAGGCCCTCAGACAAATTTCAAAAGCTCTCAGAGCAAACAACCCATTCAAAACTCTGATGTCTATACTCCAAGGGGGAGTCAGAAATAGAGAAAGATGTGTCATCATCGCCCCCCCCTCCGTACTTGAACACGAATAAACACCATTAGAAATTCCTATGCACCTTTAGGAGGGGGTAGAATGAAAAAGATATCTATGCATAGTCAGAGATATTCATAGTGTTAGATACATACAATTTAATTTGTTGAGTATAAATTGGCCAGGACACCTGCTTTTCCTATGCGATTCAAGCTTCAAACCCTTGACATCTTAAGGATTTTTACTGTAGTATATCACAGACTTATGTATATATTAAAAAACTACTTGCAATATACAACTGATAAACAAACAGAGCTCCAATATTGGAATCTCTCTAGTGGCAGTAAAGTCTAGGTAGGTGCACTTTCAGGAGGCCTTTAAAATTCAGACTCCCAAGGGAAAGGAGTCTGCTGCTAATCGGAGCAGAGAGCTTCACCAGGTGTTACCCTCTGTGCAGCTACAGATCCAGGTCAACATCAAGGCTAGTCATGGTTGGGCACCTGCCAAGGACCAACCCCACAACAGGAGTCCCGCAGGGGAAAGCCTCCCAGAGCTGGTTCTCCTCTTCACCACTGTGACTTGCTTGTTCACCTGTCTTCAACTCTGGCCCAGACAATGGAAATGGTGAGGAAAAGGCGCATTTGTCTATTTGCTCCCAGGCTGCTGCTGATGAGAAAGAGGAGCGGCGGCAGCAGCGGGTGACAATCATGGTGAGAGGGGAGCCTCCCCGAGGGAACGGGTCCTCTGGGAGCATCTTGCCCAAGAGCCTTCGAACTCCTGGAGCCCGCATGGCATTTCAGAATGGTCTGCCACTGCCAACCACCAAAGGCTCCAAGCTGCTTAACTCCTATGGAACTCCCCACCTCAACTTCTCCTGCCTGTTAGAATACCAGTACGTTCTTCTTGGCTCAGGGAATCTGTTGAGGGAAAACATCCCAATGTTATTTCACAGGGGCCTGAATGTGGCCAGCAGGGCAGCTCACCCGAGCCCGATGTCTCTGGATTTTAGCAATCTGTTCCGCCTTGGCTTCCATCTTTTTCACCAGCACTTCCAGCTCCCTCTCCAGGTCCTCCCTCAAGGCAACTGTTGGCGCATCATGGATGAGTTTTGCCAGCTGCTGGTGATTGCTTACACACAATTGAAAGACAGGGGGAGAAAGAAAAAGACTTCTTGTGAAGAATTCCATTACTGCAGGAAAATATCTAGCTTTGAAAGTGAGGGCTGTTAAAACAGTTACAGATAGTCCGTCCCTGTGAAAGTGAAAAAACCACAAATATCTTGACACCCGTCCCCAGCTCACTAGTGCCTTCTCTTTGCAGCAAGAAAATGTTGAAGAGATTTCCCTCTCCAGATGGGCAGGGCAGGAAGGCATGCTTTGAAGGCCTCCCTCTCTCTCCTTTTGCTTCCTCTCTCTCTATGGTGATGACAATTTTCTGCAGTACCTTCATAGTAGTTTGTCTGTAAATAAGGGTTGTTCATAACTCGGGGTCTGCCTGTATGTTTATAAAAACAGATCCATCATCTCTCTTTGAACTAAGTATAAATAAGTACAATTGAATGTACCAAAAATCTGGATAATCACACCTTTCAGAGAGAAAGAAATCAGTTTAAAATTGTTTTCTTTATTAAATGGTAGGTTATGGCACCTTTAACATCTGGCACAGTAATCTTAAGAGATCTTTCAAGGGTAAGCAGAATAGGAAGTGAAGAAGCAGGACACCAGTTCATCTAGCCAGGGAAGAAAGTAAGGAGAACAAATGGCCTAAGGCACCTCACAGGGTTCTTGCTGTGAGGATAAAACTGAGGAAGAGGATTACCCTATTTTTCCATGCATAAGGCAATACTTTTTCTTAAAAATATTTAGCTAAAAATGGAGGGGTGTCTTATACACGGGGGGGCTGAGAGAACTGTAGGCATGCTGGGGGGCGGGAGACTGGCGTGATCGCAGGTGTGCTGGGAGGGAGACTGGCGTGATCGCAGGTGCGCTCGGGGGAGGGAGACTGGCGCAGGTGCGCTGGGGGAGACTGGTGCGATTGCGGGCACGCTCAGGGGGAGGTGGGCACAGGCGCACTCGCCGGGGGAGGCGGCAGGCACACACAGCAGCAGCTTGCTCGCTCGGAGACTGGTAAGAAAAGTGGGGGGCGTCCTATAAATGGAGACATCTTATAGATGGAAAATAAGTTATGTAAGCTGCCATGAGTTCCTTCTAAGGAAAAAGGAGGGATGTAACTACAACAAATAGTCAAATAAACTTTGTGTGAATGGGGGTGTGTGGAAGAGACCACTCTCTTTTCCATCCTGCCATTACTGGGTGTCATTCACTCCCCCGCACCCCATTTTCCTTCCTGGAGGGGAAATAGCTATGTCAACAAGAAAGGGGTCTAAACCTGAAAGAGGAAAAGAGGGAATTAGGAGCTAGTGAATCTGAGACCACCTCTGCTCTGTGCTGCTTCGGGGCTTCCAGCCACTGGGACACAAGTCATGGTGGATTTATGTCAGCAGAGCTTTCCCTGGAGGACTTCACAGCAGACTTGCCTCCCCACCACCCTTCACTTGGAGAGAGGCTCTTCCCCCTCCAATACCCCAGCCCCAGGCACAGAAGGTATACCACCTAGCACCCCCCCGCCACCCCCTTGAAAAAGTAGGAAGGACTTTCAGCCTCGATGATTAAAACTGACCTGCAGAGATGCACTTAGCTAAGCAAGCAATCCTGTGTCCCCTGGACAGTGCCTGAAGGGCCAAAGGATATTTCTGATTCCTAGCACTGAGATCAGAAACAGCACAGGACTGTGGCAAAGAAGTCAGGATGGCATCGCTTATCACTTCTCTGCCTGCATCTTTTAATTCCCAGCAGCAAAAAGCTGTGGCCAAAGGGACAAGACAAGAGCAGGGAGAGGCCAAGCATCCCAACTGATGTTCAGAAATCAAAACCAGTATTTTACGTTGATGTATTGACTTCTTTTCTTTTCTTAAGCATTTTTTAAGATCTTCAATAGTATTTTAAAACCAGGGTTGGAACCAGACTTATTCACACCTGGGGCAAACCCATTGAAATCAGTGGGACTTAATTTAGTCACTCCTAACTTAAGTTCCCATTGATTTCAATGGAACCATTCCAGACTATGCAAGTATAAATATATACAGTCTCTTCAGGGACAGATGAACCTAGTCTACTCTCTGGCTCAATTATCTCATGGGATTTGCCTGCTCTTGAATTCCCAATTAATGGCATCTTTCTCTGTGTACTTGTGGTCTATATTTCAATCATTAGAATAAAACCGGGGTGCAGAATCACTGCTCCAGGGGCCAAGTCTAGCCTGGCTGAGGTGCCAGTCTAGCTCCCCAGATGGTCCCTCCCCATTTTCCTCCAGTGGCTTGGTTGTTTCCTGGGTTCTGTGCAGTTTCCCCCCAACCCATTTGGATTACTGGCAGTATGAGCCCACATTTCAAACAGGATGGCATTTTGACCCATCTCTCCTGCCATCACTGGAACATGGCTCCCAAGTGCTTCTGCGAAGTGGCATGCACCTCTCGGGCTGAAAGCACTTGAACACTCCTGGTATACAACCCTATCCAGACCTCACACATTTGTGATTAAAAGTCGAAAAGCGTGTTTTCCCTACACTTCCCTAATTACAGTGCTAATGCTGCAATCCAGCACACGGTTTCCTGGGAGGAAGCCTGAGAGCACACAGTGGGACTTTCTTCCAACTAAACATGCCTAGAATCACTCCCACTAGAGAGATTCCAAAAGAAACTGGCCAGCTGCCTGAGTGCGATGGTGTCAACTGGTGTCCTGCAACAGCAGCCGGGGGGGGGGGGGCGATGGCCTTCATGGCCCCTTCCAACTCTACCGTTCTATGATTCTAGGTCTGCAAAGCACAACCTGTCCTTGCACTCAGAGTTCTTGGGGGCTTTATAAATTGGCTAGATCCCCATCAAATCCCAAGAGCCGTGGGATGCCAGTTCAGACCAGAGCTTTGACTCACAAACTCATCTGCCCAAGCTCATCTTGCAGCGTAAGCAGCACTTCGGAGAGGTCTCCTTGGGACGAAAGAGACGACACGGATGACACGGGGGACCTCCGGCCTTTGCTCGTCTGCTGAGTCATCGGGACGTCGCTGACCACACGGTCGTTGCAAAGGGCTTTTGAGTGATGCTTCATCAGATGGAGCACATGCTGCACATTGGCTCCAACCGAATGGCTGGGGCTGGTGGACTGGAAGCAAAGGCAGAGAGGTGCTGAAGAGCACTAAGACTGCTTAGGAATGTGAAGGTACCACGGATGCGCATTTTTCTACCAATATAAAGTGTTCATAGAAATTAGCTTTACACCTGTTCAAAGCACCGATTCATCTAGCCAGGATCAGGCTTGTACCCGTGGGTATCACTGCATCCTTGGACACATCCAAGGTGCCTTTACCCCACTTAAAAAAAAAACTACCAACTTCCTTATTGGAAGCTGCAACCACGTCAAAGCAAGCTTTGCTCACTCATCATCATTCACCTCCCCAGAATGTCCCTGACCCTCAAGCAGGGCTGAGAGACCTACTTAGGAAATGAAGAAGATGGCCAGTCTCTAGCCAGTGCTTTAGGAACAAGGGAAGCTGTGTTACTTTGAGAAAGATTCTTGGTCCACAGAATCCAGGACTACCCACACTGACAGGCAATCATTTCCAGGGATTCAGGTAAGAGTCCTCCCGAGCCCTCCCTAGAAGATCAGGCATCAAACCTGGGACCTTCTGTACGTGGAGCGTGTGCTCTGTAACTGGCCTATAACACTCCCCACTGAAGCACATCCAGGTTTCAAGAAAGAGGAGGGGGAACAGGATGCCGGTCACCTGCGTCTGGGAAGCCACACCCACAGGGTTGTCTCCTCCTGGCCCAGGCCTGGTATTACCTGCTGGGATTGGCAACAGCTTTCTAAAGTCAAGAATTCCCCACCCAAATGTCTAGAGACCCCAGGTTAAGAAAGGCCTGATGTACTGCCTCTGAAAAGGAAGCTTCTGCTGAGTTACCAGGCATTCTGAAAGTGATCTGTCTTACCTTTCCGGCTACAAATGGCACATCACCCAGTCGCAGCCTGTAATGGGGTTGTGGGTGGAAGTGGGTCAGCCCGGAATCATTCTGAAGGTAAGAAAAAGACACTCACTCACTCAGAAGAAATCAAACTAAGCTCCACCCCACTTGCATACTCATTCAGCCCCCTTTGGCCATGTGCATACAATCCTTCCTAGAGCTTCTCCAGGATGTAAAAATGGACTTGCCGAATGAGAAGAAACAACCGCTTAGTCCAGCATTCGCTTTCCAGAAGCTACTGGACACATACGGTCCGGTGCTCAAAGGCCGAGCATGGTGGCTGAGCCAACTGTGATCGGCACTGAGAAATTCCCCTGAATATGGGAGCACTCTCTGGCTACCATGGCTAATGAGGCTACTGCGGTGGACGAAGAACATTACTCCCATCTGCTGCTTTCTGAGCAAGATCTTCTGAAGCTGTGGTTTTGACCTTTGAAAACCCGAAACTGCACCCGCAGCTTTGGGCAGTCTGCTAGCCAAACTCCAGCTGCCACACTCCCCATGATGACAACAGAATTGGTGGCCTGCTGCTGAAATTCTGGGGCAAATCTCTCGGGTGACTCAACAGGAAAACTTAGCTGAATTAACAAATGGCCGTGTTTTTGCTTAATTTCAGGAGGGTGGGGAGGCAGCAGGGGTGGAGTGATCAGAGCACAAACAGTCCCGCAGCCTGACCCGAGTGCTTTAGGGCAAGATTGGGCAACTTGCGGACACTCAGTTATCTTGACCTGTAACATTCATGATCCCTCTCGCCCCTGGAGATGCTGGTTAAAGCTGATGGGAGTTGTTCTGTTTTCTATATTGCCCAGTAGCCAAACTTGTCTGTGAGGGCAGACCAAAACATCAGAAAGGCCACAAGCTGCCCTTGCCTTTTTTAGGACTGGACTTAAGGAGTGAAGACACTCTGCTCAGCAAATGCCACTGCCAAACCAAAATTGGCAAGCATCCACTGGGAGCAGAGTCTTTTCAGTGGTGGCACCAACTCTTAGGAATGCTTTGCTCCCTGAAGAGGATCATTAGGCCTTCTTTAAGGCATTAACCCTAAACATGGCTCTTTCAGAAAGCCTTTGATCAGTTAAACTCTGCTTTTTTAAAAACTGGGTTATTCTATGACACAATTTCCTGCAGTCTCCCCCACCTGTAGTGGAGATGTTTTGGACTGCAACTCGTATCATCCCTGACCACAGACTCTGCTTGCTGGAGCTGATGGAGCTAATTGCCCAAAACATCTGGAAGGCAGAAGGCTGGCTGATGGCCATCTGTGGCAGCAGTTGCTGCTACAGAATCGTGTTTTCTAGGCCCACTGCCGCTGCATTTTTGGTTGCTGTTCTTGTGTTTTCCAAGTGTGTGTTACTTGCATGGTATTTTTATGGATTTCAACTTGTGAGCTGCTGTGGATATGTCTTCAGATGAGGATAATTATTATCAACAAAAAGCACAACCAAATAGTGAAGGACCTGTTACATGAACCCAACTACAATACAATCCTAGGCAGATCTACTCAGAAGTAACTACCACTGAATAATGTTTATAAGATTGCAGCTCTTTTTAATATCGGCAGTTTACCTTGTCCAGATGCTTTGTTTTCTTCTTCTTCTTTGGTTTTGAAGGCACTGGTACTGGTGCAGGTGGAGGTGGTTGTTGTTGTTGTGCCTTCAGCAGCTTTCTGTTTGCCTCCAATCCAGTCTGAAGCTGCTGAAACAAGCCTAGGAATTATTATTTTTTCTCCTTTCAGTAAAAAGAGATAGAAAATGTAATCTGCCCATCACATTTGCCAGCCCAGGGATAGCCCTCAGCTTCTTAATGTCATAATAATGAATGCCAGAAGGTTATCCAAGAAGGATTCCACAGAGGCCTGAACTCCTCAACCATCTCTTTCCCAGACATGCCTTTGGGTTCCCACCTGGGGAAAACTAGGTAGAGGAGGCGGGCAGAAACTGCAGGCAAGAAAGGATTTAAAGGATTCTCAGCCCACTTCTCCCCTCTAGATCCCCAGATCTGTTCTTCCCGCCCCATCAAAGGTCCTGCTAGACAACAAATACTATCAGAGCCTCATTTAGGAACAGTTTAAATGAGCCACGCTCAACTCAGTGCCCTCCACATATGCTGGACTACAACTCCCATCATTCTCAACCACCAAAGCAGGGAATTGTATGAGTTGTGGTTCAACAACCTAGAGGGTACCAGGCTGGGAAAGGTAAACATCTAGAAATACTAGCCAAACTAGTGTTCCGCCATTTTGAATAGAGGAACAACATAACTAAATCATAAAAAATAAGGGCATTCCTTGCAGATGGGCTGGTCTGCATGAAAAAGGGAGGAAGGAGTTCTTCTGGGGATGGTGAAAACTGTAGTGAAATGCATCTAAAAGGCACTGCTGGATCAGAATCTTGACTCTTCCAAAGGATTTTTCACCAAGACCATCAGCCATGCATGATCTGCCTTCAGCACGCATGGTGAAGTTTCCCAGTGCTCCATGCTTGGTCCTTTCTTCCACATTTCTGAAAAGATGCCCAGACATCACCACAAGCCATGCTATTCGGCTAGTCCTCATTGATCCGTGTTTCTTGCAAAAGGTAGCAGACATGCCTTCTGCAAAACCGTACCAGCCATGTCAGCTGGGCTTACCTCAGCAGCTTTTTGCTGAACCAGCTTCCGTGCCTGCTCTTCCTCTTGCAGCTTCTCTTCCAACTCTTTCATTTTTTTCTAATTTAAAGAAAGCAAAAAAGCAACACCCCTGCCAGTTTTAACTCTACCATTGGGATTTTAAGGCTTTTAATTTTGTTAAATTGATAGCATTTTACAGCTTCTGTTTTATGGAAATCCCTTTGGAGGTCTTTGACAGGGCCTAAAGATGCTATAAAAGGCAGAAATCTCAGTGCCTGTCTATTCACAAGTAGGAGAATCAGAAAAAAATAAAAAATCTTCCAAACTAGGTATGATTTCAACTGTTTTTTAAAAAGAGATCTGTGCACATTCTGTGGGATCAGGCAGTAATGTATCAAATGGTATTTCTTCGATTTTTTTTAAAGGAAATAAATAATCTATCCTGCTTAATAGGGTTGGTGTGGCTTACAATCTGTGCTGTCCTCCATGGAGAAAGAGCAGGATGCAAGAGTAACAAAAGAACTGGACCCAAGTATGAATTTCTCAGAGTTGCAGCTCACAAAAGCAGGGATTAGCACTACCTGTGCAAAGATATTCAGTTGCTAGGGCGAACCAGAAAAGAATACAATCCTCCAAACTGAAATGAAAAACACTACACAAAGTGGCACACAGTGGGAGAAAACATATAAACCTAAGTAGATGCCACACACCCGATTAAGCTGTATAAAGTTGGGTCACGTTTAATTTTTGGCCTAGTTTTTCTTGGAGCAGAACTTGGATTCTGGGCATTCCCCATATAGAAAACTGCAAGGGAAGAAATCTAAATGCTACACTCTTGAACAAGACTGTCACCTGATGAGAGAAATCTTAATTAATCAGATGAGTTTTAATTATTGAACCAGCAATTAAACTTGCTTATTACATGCGTCACACTAGTGCTTAGAACATGAAACAAGCCATTTCTACTTTTAAAGAAAAACAAAGAGAACCCTGCAATACACCCCAGGTTTTCTCAACAAACCCACAGGCAACCCGGATGAGGCCTGCAAAATTCTTCATTCTCTGCCCATTTTAAAACACTCTTTTTCAAGGTCTTAGGGTGCCAGGTTGTCCTTCTTGCTCCTTAAGCTGCTACTCAGCAAGCAGTAAGAAAAAGCAAGACATGGGGCAGATGCGGAGAAAAGGGCGAAACAGCAAAGTGAAGAGGCTAGCAGGGAGAAAGAGTGGAGACTGGAAACGGAGATAAACAGCAAGCTATACGTTTGGATGGGAGAAGGAAAGAGTGCGAAGGTTAGGAATGCCAAGGAGAGAGAAACAGCAAAGAAAGTGGTTGGGGAAGAGAAATGGTGAGGCCAGAGGGTAGGAATGGAGCGAGAATGCAAAAGCGGAATACCTGTACAGACAGAGCACAACTGGGCAGGCCAGGAAGTAACTCCTTCCATTCCACCCTCCTTCCCAGCCTTGCTCTCTCTCCTCTGATTCTTACCTCTAAGCTATCCAAGCCCCCATGGCAGCCATTGTGTGACTAGCCACATCTTCCATGGGAGCCATTTTGTGGTGGTGCCCACAGCAGTTTCTCTCAAATTTCCCCATGGGTCCAGAAAGCTGGGAACTCCTCTTAGACACACGGACCAAGAGGTAGCTCCCGCTGAAGTTAGAGAGACACGCTACTGAGTCAACATGCATTGGATTGTGCTGTGAGCCAGAAACCAGGTTTTCAGTCTCTCCGAAAAGTTCAAGGCTCTTTGTGGAAAGAACAGGGCACCCCGTTCACTCTCTGCTCCCCTGTGCAACTGGTATAACTCCTAACTCAGGGGTGTGAGGAATTCTAAATGTTGTTAGTCCTCAGCACCCATAAGCCCCAACACAATGGCCAGTAGTCAAAGATACCAGGAGCTGTAGTCCAACAAATCTCGACTCTTGGTTAATAAAAGCATCACATCTCTGCTATAAATTCCAGCATAAAGACTGGACAGACCTGGAGACCCCCAAGTTTCCTACCCCAGTCATGGTGGTGGGGAACACTAAGGGACAACAAATTCTCGGCATCCACAATGAACCCAAAACTGGTCCTGATGCTGAAGGAAAAGGACTCACCTCTGCAAGGGACTGCATTTCAGTAAGCCTGGCATATTCTTTCTCCAGCAGATCCAGCCTTTCCAGTTTAGATTTCACATGGGATTCGTCGAAGATCCTCTCTTTTTCTAGCGTGGCCTGGGAAATGGAGGGAGAAATGCAGAATGCTTTGTCACATAGAGGGTAAGCATGGAGGGTAAGAGCATCGCCTACTGAATGCTGCCTTTGCCCCCTCGGCTTCTGGTCACACTCATTCTGTCTTTGGCTTTGCCCATCACTAGGATGCGGCCCCCGAGAGCTTCCGCAGAATGGGATTTGGCCCTTCGCTGAAAGAGGTTCTGCACCCCGCCTTCAAGTAACTGAGATAAATCAGATACATGCTGAAGCATGAACTACAAGTCTGAGCTCAACTGCTCAGCCACAACAGAGCTTCACAACCTTCACAAAGCAGATGACCACAAAGGTGGCTTACCTGTTTTTCCAAGACTGTTGTCTTTTCGCGCTCCGCCTGTGCTATCATTTGCTTCATGTACTCCAGCTGCTTTTCCAGGAGACTGCAACGTGTCTCGGCGCCCGCCAACTGAGAGGCCAGCTCTGAAGGCAACAGGCAGCAAGAAGTTAGCAGGAGTGGCAGGCCTGGAAAGTGTACGATTACACCCCACGGATGGATGTGCCACTGCAAATCTCCCTCCTCTCTAAATGGAAAATCTGTTCCCAACCCAGGAAAGTGAAGGTGCCGGTTACAGATGCAATGCAGAGCAGGTCCCACAGGTCCTGCCTGAAGCACACCTTAGGCATTCACAGACATAGGATAAGCTCGCCAATATCCTGGCAGACCCAACAGGTGGCAGAGAAAAGGCCAAGGGGCACCCAACAGAGCATCAAAGAACAAGCGAGTCCTCTCTGGCCATTCCATGGCAAGTAAAAACAATCACACACCTGCTGAGCTGCTTCTGGAACTGGGCTATGTATTCTAGTTCCAAAAGGTTCTCCCTGGGTGTTCTAATTGTATGTGGCGTGTTGCTATGGAGGCTAAATCTGTCCATTTCAGGTTGCTCAGTTTCTCATTTTTCGAAACTTACATGAGTTTCCCTTCTTTCCATGTTTGATTCAGAAGTCAGCATAAAAAAATCATATGCCTCTTTGCACAAGATCTCATTTCCATTTCATACAAGTTTTCATATCCATTTTCCCCCAAATACCACAACTTTGCAAACAACTTCCATTGGAAAACTGCATTGCAAAATTGAGAAGAACACAAAAACAGAACTATAATTCCATTCAAGTCTGCACAGTGGTTCAGGAAGTTTGAATTAAGTTGGCATTCCAATGCATAACAAGCCAATTTCTTCACATTGCATGGCACGTATACGAACATCTGGATGGTGACCATTTTGTGGATGAGCAAACGACAGGCACCAGCATACCATCGTTCTTCCTGGACACCTCCCACTTGGAATGCTCCTTTTCCAGCAGCTGCTCACTCAGCACCTTCTTATAGTCCGAGGTTTCCCTGGTCAGGCTTTTCACGCTCTCCTCTGCTTGAATCCTCTCCAGCTCCAATCGTCGTATTTTCTCTTGCAGGTTCTTCAAAGCGGAGAAGATGGCTAGCAAGAGAACAATCAAAATACCATTAGACCATCCGCTAATAAGTGGGTGAGATGCCATAGAGAAAATGCAAGGCAGAGTCTGCGGAGAGTTCAAAACCAACCAAGTACTGACGCTCACTAGGTGCACTTGGACAAACCACCATTCTCTTTCTGCCTCATCTACTTCACAGGGGCAGCTACGAAGACCAAAAACCAAAAAAGTGGTCCACTTATGGGGCCTGAACTCCTGCAAGGAAGGGCAGGATACAGTGGCACCTCGGCTCACGAACTTAATCCGTTCCAGGACGCTGGTCATGACCCAATTTGGTCATGAGCCAAGTTAAACTTCCCCATAAGGTTCAATGTAAATAAGGTTAATCTGTTCTGTAACTATTTTTTTTAATCGCAAAAATTTGAACCGAAGTGACAAAGAGCAACAAAGATCACAGCCATCTCCTCCATCCCCACCCCGAGCGCAGCCATCTCCCCGCCCCGCCCCCTCAGCATGACTGCTTTTGCACCCATCATCCCTGCAGGCGCCCATCATCCCCGTGGACTGGTGGGGGGGAGAGACGGGCGCGAATGCAGGCGCGCTCAGGGGAGAAGGGTGCGATCATGCTTGGCGGGGGAGGATGGCTGAGATTGCGGCTGCACTCATGCAGGAAAGATGGGTGTGATCTCAGCCATCTCCCTGCCGCCCCCAGCATGATCGCAGCCGTCTCCCCACACAGGAGGGTTTATTTTATTTATTTATGTATTAAAACATTTTTAATAATGTTATTAAACATTATTGGGGTTGGGAGATAGCTGCCATCACGGTCGCCACCCAATGTGGAGTTCACGACCTAAGTCAAACTTCTTATGAAATTTTTGTTCACAACCCGATTTGGTTGTGAACTGAGGCGTTTGTGAGCCGAGGTACCACTGTATATACCTGATGAGGATAAGCTCCTGGTTTTCTGTGATCTTACATGTTTTAATGCAATCACTACCAAAAGCAGGCTTAGATTTGAGCAGTAACAACATTCAGAAGGCCTCTAAACTCCCACTTGGGAACAGGGCTGGTTTGAGACATCCTGCCCCACGAGGCAGAGCAAGAAATGGTGCACCTCCAAACTGCTCTCTCATACACCCCGCTGCACTCATCATTCTCTTTTTCACACATGCACCACTCTCCACAGCTAGCATCCCTCTGTAAAGAGCACGCAGTCCCAATCCCATGCATGCTGCCCCTGTGTGTGGCTGAAGGCTCCCAGGAAAATATAAAAATACGGCATCCTCCGAACAGTTCTTCCCTCTCAAGGCTCTCCGTGTCTCACACTTGCACGTCCTCTCATGCATCGGGCAGATTTTGTGAAGCCTTCTGTGAGCTTCCCACCCACTTCCTGAGAGTCACCCGACTCGCCTGGAAACTGCTCCTGTTCTTGGCAGTTGCTGAACATGTTTTGATTTGGCTAATATGGAGGGAGAGAGGAATCTGGGCCCAGGGGCCTCATGGATTTCATTAAAAGCAAAACACTGTTCTTGCACTGCTCCCCACCCAGGCACACACAGCTCATCACAAACTCCTGACTACTCTCCCCAGAGTTCTAGTCTCTGTCTCACTGTAACACTTTGTTGATGGGGAGCAGCCACTGCGCCAAAAAACATGCATATCTGGCTAGCAGGTGGGTGGGCGAGAAACCTCTGAGGACCATAAGGCAGGTGCAGCTGCCACCGCCAGCCAAGCCAAAACAACACGGCCCTGCTGCTTTGCCCTTCCCAGGGTCCCAGGCAGAAAGGTGAGGCTTGGCTTGGGCAGCATCACTTGAAGTTAGGCGTCAGCGGAAGGGGGGAGGAATACAGGGCAATATAGGCCTTTTTTCTGTTGCTCCCTTAGCTAACTCCTTGCAGTTAATTATATAGCCAGGGAGGAGGAGGAGAGCTTTCTGATCATGCAGGCGGTCACAGCAGTGGTGCTGATCTCAGTGACAGTGTGACTTTGGGGCTCTTATCAGGCTTGGCAGACTTGCCATTAGGCTTGTTCGGTTTTAAAATGAAAATTACGAAAGCTACTGCTTATCCTCACCTCATTATGGCTGCTCACCATGAAGGAAACCCCCAATGGGGGGTTAATATATATAAATTAGTGTATATTTATATTATATATACAGTGGTACCTCGGCTAACGAATGCCTCAGTTCACAACCCAATTGGGTCGTGAAAAAAAATTTCATAAAAAATTTGCCGCAGGTCACAAACTCTGCATTGGGTGACAATTGCGACTGTGCCCGCCTCCCCTGCACAGGTGCGATCACAGTCATGCTGGGGGGGGGGGGGGGAGATGGCCGTAATTGCGCCCATGATCCCTGCCCGAGTGCACCCACAGCCTTCCCCCCACAGCGTGCCAGCGCTTGCCTCCCCGCTGTGTGCCTGCGATCGCTGGGGAGGGCCGCGATCTTTGTTGTTCTTCGTCACTTTGCTTCAAATTTTTGTGAGTAAAAAAAATAGTTGCAGAACAGAGTAACTTTATTTACATTGATCCTTATGGGGAAATCTGACTTGTCTCACGACCAGTTTGGGTCATGACCAGAGTCCTGGAATGCATTAACTTCGTGAGCCAAGGTACCACTGTATTATGTATAACCAGCTCTGGCTTTCATGAACTATCAAGAGGGTATTTTTCCTCAATGCCTGTCCATTTATACAGTCCTCCTACCCGTACGTGAGAAATAATCTCCAGGACTTTTCACACTCCACAGTGTGATATAGCCTAAGAGACCTGCTGGGTCCTTACCAAAAATCAACCTAACCAGGCACTCTGTTCCCTGCTGCACCCAGCCAGGCAACACACGGTCAGCCCCGCAAGTAAGAAACAAGTGCAGGAGCCTTGTACCACTGTCATTCCACAGTGATCAACAGTCAGGGGCATGTTGCGTCTGGCCCCAGAGGCACCCTGCAAAGACACCCACGCTGCTCCGCAGTGTCAAAAGATCGGCAAATAAAAGATGCCAGCGAACAGCACTTCTGCGGTCAAGGAGGAAAGCAGGAGGCTTTCGAGTTCCTCAGGCTCCAATATTTGGCAGAGCTGCAAGCCTTCCTCATCAATAATTAGCAGGACTGTTTCTTCTCTGTAATACCCAACAGAGCATCTTGTCAGTATAATCCTCTTTTAATTAGGTTATCCAAGGGGGAATGCCATTTAGATCTGGGATGCCCGAGTCAAGGAAGCTCTGATGGAAATATTCCCAAGAATAAGCATATTTTGAAAAGAAACAAAAACAGAATTTGCCCTCACTTGCAGAGTGCCAGGTCAGACCAAATGGATCAAGAAGGGAGAAGATTCAGAAGTCCAAAATGGGTTTTAGGGAATTTAAGGGACAGATGTAAAAGGGAGGGAAAGTTAATTGCTCCACTGGCTTCCGGTGCTATCAATCAGCACGGTTAAGTGTCTATGTCACATCAGGTCAGGACTAAAAAGCATGGGGAAAAACAAAGTTCTCAATACAGAAATATATTTTATATTTCTGTATATTCTGTGCTATATATTCACTCTACAAACCAGGTGACTGAATAGGGATTTTATGGGGGTTATGGCACAATGACAGCCTGACTATTTTGTGCTGATCAAGAGAAGACACAATTGTTGGGGACAAAGGGCAAAAAGGATGACAACCTGCAGCAATTGTTCCCACAGACTGTTGGCTGCATACTAGACTATTCTTTGGAATCAGAAAGAGGAATAGATTGCAGTAGAATTGGGGATGATAGGCTAGGTCAAGATGATCACCTAGGCCAGGCACTTCACCAAGCCAGGCAATCACGGAGAACCATCATGATCCATAGCCAGAGGCGGAGGACTCTGAGGATGAGGAATTATCAGACGCAGGGCAGGCTCCCCACCCCACCATCACCCCCATAATGAGGCATCAGCAGAGATGGGAGGCCCAGCTGAATGAGCCGCGTGAGAAGAGGAGGCATGCTCACCTTCAGAGAGCCCCTCTTGAAGGGTTGGAGGCCACGCATGTTCATACGGAGGGTTCGCTGAACACCAGATTAGGTTCAACAAACTGCTCTGTGCATGCTCAGAGATCTGTTCTGGGTGATTTGTACTTGGAAGCAACAAAGAACACTTTGCAAGGAAAATGGTCTGTGACTGGGGATCATTCAAAAAGCCTCCTCACTGTCAGAGCAATAGGGCAGTGGAACCAGCTGCCTGGAGAGGTGGGGGGCTCTCCCACACTGGAGGCATTAAAAAAGAAACTGGAGAGCCATCTGAGTGGGATGGCGTAATGTGGTGTCCTGCAATAACAGAGGGTTGGACAGGATGGCCTTCTTGACCCCTTCCAACTCTACTATTCTATGATGGAAGAAGCACGTGACGATTAGCAAGAATCAATCAGGAAGTAACAGCACTCTATCATGCCTATAGAACATTACAAGCAAGCTGGCCTGGTGGAGCTTTTTCAGAAAATTCTAGAGGAGATATTACTCCAGAAAAGATCGTATTCTTCATTTCCACTTGCCTAAATGGTGGTTTGTGGGGCCGGGGGGGGGGGGGGCACTTGGAGCAGAGTCTTTTAAGATGATCTTAATTTAAAAAAATATTTATGTTCTAACATTATCAGCAATCGAAGAATCCCTTGTTCTGGTTACCTTTATTGGTCTCAGCGGGTTGGGAAGGAGAGATGGAAGGAATACAAATACAGAGGTGCAATAGTGTAAAGGTAAACACAGGTGGAGAACTTCTACAACAATCACAAGGCATCATAAACTTATTCCATCTTTCCTCCTTAATAAACTTTTACAGTAAAAAAAAAAAGATGGAACAAACAACAAAAGGAAAATGGAAGACAGCATTATCTGGACCCCTCCTAAAACAGTGGCGCAGTGGTTGATCAGTGCTGGGCTAGTTGACTGAAAGGTCGCTGGTTCGAATCTGCACAACGGGGTGAGTTCCCGTTGCTCCGTCCCAGCTCCTGCCAACCTTGCAGTTCGAAAGCATGCAAATGCAAGTAGGTAAAAAGGTACCCCTTCGGTGGGCAGGTAACAGCGTTCCGTGCACCTTGGTGTTTAGTCATGCCGGCCACATGACCACGGAGACTGTCTGCAGACAAACGCTGGCTCCCTCGGCTAGGAAACAGAGATGCGCACCGCCCCGCAGAGTCAGACATGACTGGACTTAATGTCAAGGGGAACCTTTTACCTTTACCTTTATTGCACAATAGAGGAGGCCTTTGGATGCATATAAAGTTGTAGTAACCCAAGCCTATCAGGGTTCTTTAAATCCAAGCAATCCACCATTGCTACAAAGCTACTTTTAAAAAATGCACAGTACACCTTCCCCTGTATCAAGTCTGATCTTTCCCTAAGAGCAAAAAGGACAAAACAAAGGTTGTTCTACTTCAGATGCATCATGAGAAGGCAAGACTCACTGTAGAAGGCAATTGTTCTAGGAAAAGTTGAAGGCAGAAGAAGACCAAATATGAGATGGGTTGACTCCATAAAGGCAGTCTCAGCCTTGAACTTGGAAGAGCTGAACGGGGCTGTTGTGGACTGGACATTTTGGAGGGCTTTCATTCATAGGGTCACCATAGGTTGATATGCCTTGATGGTACATAACAAAAATATCACCTGACAGAGTTTACAAAGCAATTTAAAAAGAAAATCTATCCCAGTGCACAAAACGGCAACAGCATTACCATGCTGCTTAAAGCTACAAAGTCTCCAGACTGATTTACAAACTAGAAGCTATTCTCAAACCAACAGCATTTCCTCTGGGCTGAAACCTTACCTTTGCTGTTACTCTCTGGATAAGCAGTCACTGGTCTGGCAGGAGATCGTCGCAAGTCAGAGTTAATGAATGGCTTGTGTCTAGGGTATTCTGCAAACGAAGCTGCTGAAAGCCCATCTGTGAACGATGCAGACCTGTGACTTGCATGAAGGTTACTCTGAAAGTAAATAAAAATGGTTATTTGAGCTCTCTTAAGAGGCACAGAAGGCAATTCCCCTACCTGCCTCCTGTACCAGGAAGAAGAATTTCAGTCCTCAGAGGGCTGTGAGGAGTGGGATCCGGGAAGTCTCTGCTGCAGAAACTAGATCTTAGGAAGACTTGGAACAGGGATAAGCAGCCTGGGGTCCTTTCAAGCCTTACAACTTCCAATTCCCTCCTTACCCCTCCCCCCCCCTTGTGTCACATGTATAGTTCTGACTGAAAGCCCATAGAGAGGGATGATCCTGCTTAAGATGCTCTGGGATCCTTTTTCTGTGCAGGAGCGAGATAAAATACTTTGAACACTTAAATCATTCCTGACCACTAGCCATGCTGGCTGGGACTGATGGGAGTTGGATCCTTCCACCATTTGGATAGCAGCAAGTACCCCAGCCCTGACTTAAAAAGTAAAATGGCAGCCAAAGGCTGGTGTCTGAACTGCCACTGGTGAAATAAGTTATTCCAATCTTGATCAGCTTCTCAAGAGGCATCAGACAGCAGACATGGAGATTTCAGCCTATGGATCCAACTCTGTGCACACATACTCCCAAGTAAGCCAACAAGCGAGCCCCAGTTTCGGACGCAGGTAACAAGAGCAGCAACTGCAAAGTTTCTCTTCTTCCCCCAAGTTAAGCATACATTCTGTGTTTGAGAGCTTAGATTTTCTCACTTAGAATCAAGTTTGTAAATTCAGCTCTCCTGCCCCAGCCCTGAAAACTAATTCTCATGCAACCACATTGAAGGTTGAGCTGGGTGTTACTTTATGGGGATATGGAGCAGGATCTTTTCAGCACAGGTCTTGCCATATTTACTCCAAAGAGAAATCCATTAAATTTGATGGGGCTACTAGCACCTATGTGGGCTATGAAGTGCAAACCTATGTATTTTTACTTGGAAAGCAGCTCTCACAGAGTGTCATGGTGGGGGAGGGGAATTCCCCAAGAATATGTTCGCTTAAAAAAACCTGATCTGTCAAACAATAGGGCAGTTTATTTCAAAACATTCATTCTCCCTACTGGAAGCAACCCACGCTCTACCAAACTCCATGGAAGAGAAACCCAAAGGGTTGGATCTCCCAAAGGCATCCCCAACCCGGTAGCCTTCAGAGGCATTTGAGCCACAAGGGGTAGACTGGGAACATGGGTTTATTTTTATCAGGATGTATAAGCTGGGAAGCCCACTTCCCACTCATAGAAACACAGAATTCTCCACAAAGAGAACAAGAAAGGTTTACAGTGGACAGGATGCTGGCTATAAACCAGCTGCGCACCAGCTGCGCAGTGAAACCCACTGGATAGCTCAGCACTCTCATGATGTTTCTGAAGAATGCTTTGATCATTTTGGCTCATTTAGGGCCCGGTCCAACAGCCATTTTACTGACTCTTAGATTCCCATTGGATAAGTTGGAGTACCAACTCCAAGCCTGGAAACCCTCAGGACCAGTGCAGAGAGAACTCCACTAACTTTGGCTCCCAGGCCACAAGAGAGATGGGCTTTTGGGAGCTAAGCAGGATGGGGAGGAGGCAGGTCTTGCCAACACGAGGCAGTGCCTCACTCTCCTCTCCTCACATTCCAAGACCAAACTGAAACCAGCCATTTAATTGCGCTGCCTGGCCTCACGTTCCACCCATAAACCTCCCCTGCTCTCCCACTGCTGCTTTCCATTTTTATCTTACAGCAGAAAGTCTGTCAAGACAGACAAGATGACATGACTGCACAAGATCGTTACAAGATCTGATAAGCCCACACTCTGCCCTGAATTCTTTTGGAGAATGGCATACAATAAAACAAACACTGAACACCTTTAAGTGTGCCCACTCGTTTCAAACACTGAATGCCCCCCACACACGTTCCATGGGTCATTGGTCCACTTTGCATCCTAACCTCCTTCAGGTAGCTAATGACAGTCTAAATGCATCCCTCCCTTTCTCCTACTTATTGCACAACAGCCCACTGAGGTAGGAATAGCAGCTGACCCAAAGTAACCCACTGCTCTTCACAACCGAGTGTTTAATGATACTTATGACATTTATATCCCACCTTCTGTCATTTCATGGAATTCAGCTTATATAATTCTCCTCCTCTCAATCTTATCCTAACAACAAGAACCCTGTGAGGTAGGTTGGGCTGAGTGTCTTTGACTGGCCCAGTGTCACCCAGTGAGATCCATAGCTGAGTGGGTGTTAGAACACAGATCTCCTGAATCCCAGTCCCATGCTCTTAAGCACTACATCACACTGGCTCTCAATACCATCCTTTAATTAAAAAATCTGTCTTTTGCCTAAAATGAAAATATTAAAAATCCAAAATATGAATGGCTTCTGGAGAAAGTTCTCTAACAACATATCAGGTCTCAGACAGTTGGTGGCCAGTATTCCTCATGCTTAATCTTATGCAGGTGAGAGAAAGATGTTGAATAGAAGGATAGCAGGCTTTATGTGAAGGAAGTACCGGCTCAGTTCCTACTATCTCCCATTATTTAACAGAAAGAATTGCAGGCAAGAGGGTAGGTGGAAAAAGTCCTCTACCTGAGAGCCCAAAGAACTAAAGGCAGGCAAACCTGCCACTAAACAGGCCGATGCTTTGATGCAAGATCAGGCAGGTGCATACTAAGGAATTTTAGACCAAAACAGAGACATTGCTTTAGATGTGTGTCTAGCACCTATGCCTTTTCATTTTTATTCTAGAGTAGGCAGGAGAATCTGGTTTACATCTTACAATTCCCCCCTGAACCCCATGGTAGTCTGCAGGTCTGGATGCAGGACCAGCATCTACACTGGAGTGAAACGAAGAGAGAGAAAAAGATGTAGTTACTTCACATTTTAACACGTGGTCTGTTTTAGCACTTTTAATCTTTCTGGCTTAGAGAAGTTCACAGCTGCCTGGCAGGAGCCATACTCAGCATTCCCCAACCTGCCCTTCTCCCAGATGTGGTAGACTACAATCCTATTATCAATGGCCAGGGCTAATGGGAGCTTAAGTCCGCACACATCTGGAAGGCGCCAGTTCGGGGAACGCCAGCTTACCTGGTCTGCATAGGAGCGCCTCCTAGTACCTGTCCTGAATGCTTTTAAGCCGGGGCCACGAATGACCCGAAGCGATCCTAACAGAAAGCGCGCCTCTGAGCATGTGAGGACTGCCTTTCCCCATCCAACCCGCACAAGCCCAGGACACGTTCCAGGAGAAAGAAGGGGACTGCGAAGGAGCCAAGACACAGCCTCGGGGCCTCCCCCGCTGCACCCCGTGCCCATCCCTCTCTCCAGCTCACCGTGTGCTCCGGTTCCCCCGCCACCGCCATGTCGTGAAAAGGCGGCCGCGAGGGGTGCATGCCCCTTTAAGGCCAGCGGCGCCCAGAAAGCGACTGCTGCTGCCGCCACCCCACCTCCCTCCTCCTCCAGCTGTGCCAGAAACGCCGCTGCCGCTACCTTGCTCTGTTGAGTGACACAGGAACTGGCCAACCGCGACACATCCCACCCACAACACCCGCGCCCGTTACTTTCCCTACGCGCTTGCGTCACAGAGCCATGACCATGATGGACGGGAAAGGGCTGCCAATGAGAAGGCAACACTAGGCAGCCTCAGCTAAGATTGGACTTTTCTGTCTCACGACCCCCTTGGATCCTTTCCACCCGAGTCGGATTTGTTTGTGGCTATATTTTGTTTCATTGCGAGGCGGGAAGGCAGAATCGAATTCATCTCCCCTCTGCGCAGGCGTAGCCGCAAGAGCCGCGGCTAAAGGAAGGTAAAAGGCGCGTTGCGTCACTCCTCGCTGTGCCGTCTCTCAAGCCTATGAGCGGGGGGAGAAGAAGGTCGACGCTGCGCCAATGCAGGGGAATGGAAAGCGAGTGCCACTCTCTGGTTGGTTTGCGTGGGCGTGACGTACACAGCGGAGGAGAGCGGCTTGCCGCGCCATTGGTCGGCGAAGTTTGAAGGAAGCCTTGCCGCGCGACCCTGATTGGACGAGGAAAACGGTGAGGCTCGCGCTCGGTTCCTGCGCCCCTGGCTCGTGCTCTCGCTCTCGCTCTGTTTGTGTGAGGAGGAGGCGGAGGAGAAGGAGGGAGGGGGAGAAGGGCCGTGAGGCGGATGCCGACACCAGAAGGAAGCGGGGCCTACTAGGCTGAGGAGACGCGGCAAGGGAAGTCAAGTGGGCGAGCCAAGGGACCGGCCGGCCTCCCGGCCGGCCCGCCTGTCTGCGAGCGCCGCGCCTCAGTGAGCTTGGCTGTCCGACTGACCGCTGTGGCTTCTTTCCCGTCCGTTCGGCCGCGACTCTTTCTGAGCTGAGAGGAAGGCGGATGGCGGCAACATCCGGGGTCCCCGGCGCGGCGGCGGGCGCGGCGGCGGCGGTGGGAGCGGCATCCGGCGCGGCCCCGGCTCTCTACGCCTGTACCAAGTGCAACCAGCGCTACCCTTTCGAGGAGCTCTCCCAAGGACAGCAGCTCTGCAAGGTGCTGCTCCGACGAGGCCCGCGCAGGATGCCACGACCCTGGGAAGAACGAGGGGAGGCGAAGGGAGGCCGGGGCCTGGCTGGCGAGGCCAGCGAATTGGGGCCGAGCTGAAGGGAGGTGGCCCTTCCGCGGAGGGAAGCGATGCCTCTGGGAGGCGCGGGTGGGCGGAGAGGATATTCGGCGGGAGGCGGTGTGTTGGAGGCTTTGGGGGCGAGAGGATGCAAGGAAGGAGCGACCCGGCCGCAATCCCCGCCCCGAGTCCCCCTGGGGAGGCGAAAGCTGGGTCCCAAAGAGAGTGAAGGGAGGGGGTTACGTTACGAGTGTTAGCAGGAGACCCGGGGTAGTTCGGCAGCCCACCACCTTTAGGTGTGTCTGCTCTGAAGCGAGACGCATCGAGTTCAGTAGGACTTGCTCCCAAAGTTGTAGCTTTCAGAGAAGATTTTCGGTAATACTGGGATTCAGGCGAGGTTTTTTTTCTTATTTATTGAGTATTTTAATGCTGCCTTTTAACCCTCCCTACAAAACCCACGGCAGTTTATGTAAAAAGAAAGTGCACAAACTATTAGATGTGATCAAGCAATTAAAATGTGAAGAAGTTATTAGGGTCTTTTCACATTATTTGGGAGGTCTTCCACCAAAAGTGCATTCTGAAAGGAAAATCGCACCTTATTTCTAATAAAGTCAAATAATTTGCTGTTCTGACATGAGATAGCCACCCAAAGTGACAACTCTTTGTAAAATGCTTCTTTTTAGTTGGAATTTGACATAGGTCGTGTATTTTTCCCAACCCAATTCTGGAAAATAGTGCACTTTCCTACCTGCATCACATGTTAGTTAGCACTTGTAGAAGAAACTGCTTTCTGTGATATCCTCTTCTTGTGTGTGACATGTAGTTTTTTCCTGTTTTTATTATACAAGACATTTGTTAGCACTTTTTTTTTTTGAATTGGTTGTTAAAGAATTTTAGGTGTTCATATAACAAACCTAAATGGTTCATTGGTCTTTAGTTTGTGATAATGAAGGGACATGCCTTCTCTCTTAAAAAAATAAATTTATTAAAAACTAAATAGTTTGCTTTGATCAAAGTTTCCATAGACAACCAGAGGACTTCAGAGAGTATTAGCTGTTACAGTTCAGCAGCATGACACAATCTAGTAGTTACCTTCAGCAAAATCAAAAAGTGGGTGTTTTATAGTGATTTGAGCTTTCACAGGTGGTAACCCACTTCATCAAATACACATGGACATTGAGATTTTATACAGGTTAAATGTTGTGGAAGGAGACCACCTTAGGAAGCCCTCCTTGGATTAAGAATGGCTGAAATAGCAATCATCTTCTCCCAAAAACTAAATCACACATTAAGGATGCAATGCTATGCATATCAAGACAGGAGAGGTCCTAGAGCTTCCAGTGTGCCCCATCCAGCCATTTAGGGCTGGAACATGCTGGAAGTTATCTCCAAATTGTTGTACATATTGGAAGTTTTCTCTCCAAATATCCCAAAGAATGCTCCCTAAAGGTACAACTGTATGCATGCAAGTGTGCATTTTATCAGAAACTTTCTTGTCTGGTGTTTATTCATATTCTAGAAGGTCAGAGGTTATCACCCAGATATTTAGTATACATTTGTTCAGAACAATTTCCTTAGAGCGGCTGGTTCCAGCACTCAGTTAACAGAGTGTGTCCTGTAAATTAACCAGCCAAACAGAAGGAATATTTTTTATTGTTCATGATTCTAGGGAAAAACTTACTTGACTGGTACTTCTCTGTTTTACTTATATATTTGTTAGTATCCTGCCTTTCTACCAAAAAATGACATTCAAGGCAGCAGTCTAGTCAAGGTTGTACTTACAGGAGCACAATGTAAGTGCAGTGTATATCCTTGCTGTGTGATTTGGCCCATTACTTACATACTGCTTTTGGGATAGGTTTGCAGCACCAACAGTTGGGATAATTTTACAATTTATTATCTCTAGTTTTAACTCATAAAATTGACTTATGCTGCCTAAAGTGTCGTTTTGGTATCCTCCTGTATTCCTCTGGTGATCTAGATAGTAACTCAAGATCAAAAATTTTCTTGCCCTTTAAATTGTGAGAAGTTAAAATGCTAGTCACATGGAGAAAGCTGGCATAACGAAAAAAAAGAACTGAAAGTTAGAGTTGGAGACTGGGGTAACTATAGAATGTCCACAAAGCAAATTTTCAATCTGTCTGATATTTCATGAGTTAGTTCCTTGAGGGGTGCACTGCCTTTCCATTTCTTTGACTGACTAAGTTTGCACAGCTGTTTGCTCTGACTTTAAGAATCTGTCAAATTGTTTTGTAAATGTCAGATTTCAAATCTTATAAAATAATTTTTAATGTCAGTTATTCCATGTTAGTAAAAAGTATTGACATATCGTTTTCTTCTCTAGGAATGTCGGATTGCGCATCCTATTGTAAAATGTACTTACTGCAGATCAGAGTTTCAGCAAGAGAGGTAAGTCATTTACATGTTTTTATCACAGTTAAGAATGGATTACTTTGGGGAATTGTTGGCCCCAGAGAAGATACATGCTTCTCTTTACCAATGAAATTCAAATCTAATCATACAAATAAAGTGAACATTACCTGCCTCTGTGTTGATAATTTGGCCCTCTGTATCTTGTTCCGCACAATTTCCCTTTGGCCATTTCGTATGTTCACATGTTTAGCATTTCTTGTAGTGCACTGATTTTTTGGCCTGTTGTTTTTGAAAGTCCTTCAGGGTTACTTTCATTTTTGCGTCGTTGTTGTTGAAAACATGTCCCTGAGGAAGGAATTTCAAGGTCTGTTGACCTGCAAATTAATCTTTTAGCATCTGGAGGTCCTCACCCTTTTTCTCTGTTAGTGGTGCCATCTCATTTACATTGTTTTCCCTTGTAGTATATAGCTGTCATCTTCCATAGGTGGTGATGATCTTATATATGGTCAACGTGTCAGCTTCTTTCCTTCTCTGTTCTCATATTTATGTTTTAGGAAGGAATATTCAAGTATGTTCCATATTTACAATTCTACTCTAGTCCAGTGCAGATATGGCTTTAATCTCAGTTAGAAATTTTAAAATCATCTGGGGTTATGTAGGGTTATCAATGATCCCCTTAGAGTTATCAGCAATCCTTTGATTTCAGAACTGGCCTCTAAAGGCTAAGCACCTGCCCTGCTCACCTTGCAGCCAATGCAGAAAGCACTGTGCCAGCTTCCCCCCACAACTGCATCTTGGAGGGGAGAGGAAGGCAAGGAATGCTAGGGAGGTGGCTGGGGCTGTGGACCAGCTGATTCCAGCTGGAGTCACACCCTATTTCCTTCCCATCTCCAGAACAAACTCTAGCTAGCCATCCAGAGAAAATGCCTGGCATGAAGTGTGGTGGTGGTAGAGATTCCTGTCATGCTTTATTGCAATGTAGGATGCATGTTGTTGTTAGTCGCAAAGTCGTGTCCAACCCATCGCGACCCCCATGCACAATATTCCTCCAGGCCTTCCTGTCCTCCACCATCCCCCTGGAGTCCACTTAAGCTCACACCAACTGCTTCAGTGACTCCATCCAGCCACCTCATTCTCTGCCGTTCCCTTCTTTTGCCATCTATTGTTCCCAGCATCAGGCTCTTCTCCAGTGAGTCCTTCCTTCTCCTTAGGTGGCCAGAGTATTTGAGTTTCATCTTCAGTATCTGGCCTTCTAAAGAGCAGTCAGGGTTGATCTCCTCTAGGACTGACCAGTTTGATCACCTTGCGGTCCAAGGGACTCACAGGAGTCTCCTCCAGCACCACAATTCGAAGGCCTCAATCCTTTGGTGCTCAGCCTTCCTTATGGTCCAGCTTTCACAGCCATACATTGCAACTGGGAAGACCATAGCCTTGAGTATATGCACTTTTGTTGGCAGGGTGATGTCTCTGCTTTTTAGTTTGCTGTCTAGATTTGCCATAGCTTTCCTCCCCAGGAGCAAGTGTCTTTTAATTTCTTGGCTGCAGTCCCCATCTGCGGTGACCTTGGAGCCCAGGATAATAAAATCTGTTACTACCATTTCTTCCCCATCTATTTGCCAGGAAGTGATAGGACTGAATGCCATGATCTTAGTTTTCTTAATGTTGAGTTTCAAGCCAAATTTTGCGCTTTCCTCCAACTTTTGCGCTCTATTCCAGAGAATAGCTAGAAGAGATAAGAATGCCTTCTTAAATGAACAGTGCAAAGAAATAGAAAAAAACAATAGAATAGGGAGGACCAGAGACCTCTTCAAGAAAATTGGAGATATGAAGGGAACGTTTCATGCAAATATGAGCATGATAAAGGACCAAAATGGCAGGGACCTAACAGGCAGAAGAGATTAAGAAGAGGTGGCAAGATTACACAGAAGAACTATACACGAAAGAGCTTAACGTTCCTGATAACCACAATGGGGTGGTCACTGATCTCAAACCAGACATCCTGGAATGTGAAGTCAAATGGGCCTTAGGAAGTCTGAGCAACAACAAAGCTAGTGGAGGTGAATAGCTCAGTATTCCAGCTGAGCTATTCAAAATCTTAAAAGACAATGCAGTAAAAGTGCTACACTCAGTATGCCAGCAAACTTGGAAAACTCAACAGTGGCCACAGGATTGGAAAAGGTCAGTTTACATTCCGATCCCACAGAAGGGCAATGCCAAAGAATGTTCAACCTACTGCACCATTGCACTCATTTCACATGCTAGCAAAGTGATGCTCAAAATCCTACAAGCTAGGCTCCAGCAGTATGTGGACTGAGAACTACCAGCAGTACAGGCAGGATTTCGAAGAGGGAGAGGAACTAGAGATCAAATTGCCAACATACGCTGGATCATGGAGAAAGGTAGGGAGTTCCAGAAAAACATCTACTTCTGCTTCATTGACTATGCTAAAGCCTTTGATTGTGTGGATCACAACAAACTGTGGCAAGTTCTTAAAGAGATGGGAGTACCACACCATCTTATTTGTCTCTTGAGAAACCTGTATGCAGGTCAAGAAGCAACAGTGAGAACTGGACACGGAACCAGTGACTGGTTCAAAATTGAGAAAGGAGTTTGGCAAGGCTGTATACTGTTGCCCTGCCTATTTAACTTATATGCAGAGCACATCATGAGAAAGGTGGGGCTAGATGAATCACCACTGGAATTAAGATTGCTGGGAGAAGTATCAACAACCTCAGATATGCAGATGATACCACTCTAATGGCAGAAAGTGAAGAGGAACTAAAGAGCCTCTTGATGTGGGTGAAGGAGGAGAGTAGGATGCATATAAGCATGCAAGTTCATAGGCATTGAGAGCATGGGATCTAGGATTGCACCCTGTGTGAATTGACTAAAGTGAAGTCTTATCTAGGTCCTTGAGAAATTTCCAATATGCTTGATTTACATTACAAAAGATGTCTGAATTTTACATATCTCTTTTCCTAGCTCGCTTTAGACATGAATTCTTGTAGGGCTATGTCATGTGTTCTGCCATAATTGTATAAACTCAGTCAGTTCCTTTTTTCTAAGCTATGTTTTCTGTGCAATAACTCACTTTTGAAAGCGGCATGGAATAAAAATTCACAAATTAACTGATTTACTTGCTTCATTATTATATTATACATTATAATTATATTATTATATTATAAATATTATAAATACTTATAACAGAGTAGTTGAAATAAGAGTTTAAGAGTGTAATCTTATTTTTTTTAGCAAAACAAACACAATATGCAAGAAGTGTGCCCAAAATGTGAAGCAATTTGGAACGGTAAGTTATCTGTATCTCTTTTTCACCGTGGTGCGTGTTAGTTAACCATAAAGAGGTTTACACAGATTAATATTATTCATACTTTGAGAACTTGTAAAAAAGCAGTATTCTTGCATAAAGTTATACTCCCCTTTGATCATATTCAGTAAAGCTTGAAATGGGTACCATGTGCACAAAAACCATTTTGGTGCATAAAATACTGCTTTTCTTGCAGCTGATAGCAGAGAGTCTTCTGCCCTGTTCAGCAACCCTGATTGTTTGAGGGAAAGGGCAGGGCTAATGAAAGCAAACCCACTCTCTACCCTCATGTGAATGGAGTTACACAATTCTTAATGCCCAAGTAGATGTCTAAAGAAATCCTGAACAATCTGATTTCTTGATGTTTTATTTATTTATTTAAAAATTTCTATGCTGCCCCCATCGCAACAAAGCCTCAGGGCGGCTCACGAAAAATACAAAAAAACACATAAACAATTTAAAAGGAAAAAAAAAATTTAAACCCCCGGTGCATTCTCGGCTAATTTTAAAATCCTAATAAATACAATAATTTAGCAATTAAAATAAGTTTTAAATAAAAAGGTCTTAGCCTGGCGCCGAAAAACATAAGTTCCAGCATACAAATACTATAACTTAATGAAATAATAAATTTCATTTTATCTATACAAGTCCATCTTAAATGGGTGTGTGTGTGAAAGGAGTGGTTTTACCTTTTTTTCTTAATCAAATAAGATGTTGGCACAACTTAAAACAGAGAATAGTGTTTCTCATTTGTTCTTCTTTTCAACCAGCCAAAACCTTGTCAGTACTGCAACATAATTGCAGCTTTTATTGGCACGAAATGTCAGCGCTGCACAAACTCTGAAAAGAAGTATGGACCACCTCAGACATGTGAACAGTGTAAGCAGCAATGTGCTTTCGATCGCAAAGAGGAAGGGAGAAGAAAGGTATACTTTTGTCTCTGCTATTATTATTTTGTCTAGAAGTGTAATCTGACTCATAACAAAGTAGCGATTAAGCTTGGCCTAAAGTAGCAAAACAGCGTGGACTGTTCTCACAGGAGTGAGATTATACAAGCCTGGTTTACCAGCACAGTGAGAACATTGCTCTGTGTCCCAACTAGTTAGTAAGCATTGGCCCCTATGAGCACAGACGTCATCCTAACATTGCATTCTCCGTTTGGGTGTAAGGCACATCTTGGAGTGGGGTAAGCACACCCTGCGAGAGGGTGCAGTTCTTATTCTGTTCTTCCACCATGTTCATACTCTACATACTTGGTGCTACATACAGATAGGTTCTAGTCCAATACAGTCAACACCTGCAGGAAATTAATCCTAATCCCTGAGATCCACCACTGTCGCCAGAACAAAAATCTTTCTGTGCTATCTTTTAATGCACAGTAATAGACATATTAGCCCTTATATTGCTGAGGTTTGAATGGTGAGCCTATTTCTTAGTGTGACTGCATACTAGCTACACCTTTAGTCTGAAGTATTCTGGAAGAAAGTTGCTTTTTATATAGTTTTAGCATTATTTCCAAATAGTTGTAGAGAAATATTGATGAAAATGAATACTATGCATAACATATTTCTGTTACTTTTCAATTTTCATGGCACTTGACTGGTGATCAGTGAATGGATTTGATCTCAAAACTGTACAGCATACATGATAATGTGCACTTTATAGTTCTACTTCAGAAGCTATAGGAATGCCTAAATAGCTTGTAGTTTATACTCTTAAGAGAGTATAGCACACCATACATTTACCCCATCTTTCTGCCATGAAAGTTAATGTGCCATAGATCAGATTCTCAAGTGGTCTCTTAATCAACCACTGATCAGACTCATTTGCTTGGCTTGAATGTAGTGGTTGTATGATGTGTCTTCAGGGTATGTCCTGAGGCTTTTGTCATACACACCAGGGGTGGATAAGGACCTTAATTAATGCTACCTGAGAATATCTGGTGTTCAAGGATGTTGTGAAGTATGACAGAAGCCTTGGTTAGCAAAAAGTTTAATTGATCCTAGATATATCACTGACCACGTAAGAAGAGAGCTATAGTACAAATCAGGTGAAATGCCAGCAGGCTGGATCCAAAGATCCAGGATGAGGACTTCCGCTCATGGAAAGGGAGCTCTTGCTAATGGAAAGGGGAGAAAACATTTGCTGATTCTCTTTCCCCCCTGCATCGCCCTTTTCCCTGTGCAAGTCGGGGAGACATCTAGTACAGCATTTTACTGGCAGCAAAAAGGAGAGAGGGAAATGGCCAAAATTGCCTGCCCATTCTTCAACTTCAGTTAGTGCGCATCTCTTCCAAATCAAAGGTTTTTTGGTCCATAGAAGGGCCTTTGTTCATGGGATCCAACATGGTGTGCCCACCTAAAAAAGTAAGTTAAGGTATTTTTATCCAGTTTTTGGCAGATTGTCTGACATGTTTAATTTTATGTGCTACTTATGTCTACTATATAGTTGTTGATGTTAAGATCTGCATGCAAGAGTAACAGCATTAGTATTTGATAATTTTATTTTGGCTGTTGTGTGTCTTTTTAGCACTCAGTACGTGTAACATAACTTGCTGCGAATGATTTCCCAAAAGGTTGATGGGAAGCTGTTGTGTTGGCTCTGCACTCTGTCCTACAAGAGAGTACTGCAGAAGACTAAGGAACAAAGGAAGAACTTAGGCTCTTCACATTCTAATTCCTCCTCCACATCTCTTACGGAAAAAGACCAGCATCATTTGAAACATCACCACCATCACCGCCACCATCACCACCACCACCGTCACACCAGTGGCCATCACAAGTAAGTGTCGTTTGGCTTCATAGAGCAGCCCTATTGCCCTGTTTAACTACATAGTAAATTATGATACAGTCAGAAATCTGTTAAGAAGGGGTATGTTTGTTCTGTAAAATATACTTTTGTTAATGGTACTTGCAAGTTCCTTGAATTGAAAGAATGAAATGGCAGACGGGTGGTTGTGTCAACTAAAACTGCTTAACACTAAAAATACAGACTAGGATCCAAATTTCTATCTATTTAGTCTCTCACATCCAGGGGGGCTTTGGTAAATATTCAAATAGAGAGCAAAATCAAATTGTGGTACAGCAAAAGGGGCTTGCTGCCCAAAGAAAGCCACAATTCCACAACAAATGTTTAAACTTTTGGAACCCTACAAAGTCCTACATGATTGTATATGTTTTAAATCTGAGTTTATATATGTTTGAATGGAAGACACAAATATGTAAAATACTCACAATTGATAAAAGTTGACCTGCAAGCTGAACTCCCAACTCTCACATTATTCTCAATGCATAATGCAAGCCAATTTGTTAAAGAATAGTCCTTTTCTGTATGAAGAAACATTGTATAATGGTGTAAGACATAATGCAAATTGCATGGTAATGGCAAGGACCAATCGCCATGGGAACTGTAAAGTTAGATAACAGCAGCCTCTTTGTTGATTCTGCTGACCTTCTCAGTAGAGTTCAGTATCATCAGTATTTTGTTTTTTTATAGACCACCTTAGTTTCAACTAGATAGTGGCCTTATATGGGACATACTCCTTTGATTTCTTGCTGAATTGGAACTGAGGTTGCAGGATTTTGTACTGATTCTGCTCCCATCTGGTAGATGGGTTTCTGAGACTGGTACTGAGGAACTGTCGCCTTATTCCTCAGCCTTAGGCCAATAGAGTCACAGCTCTGTCTTGTACCCTGTGTTATTCTATAGCTACATGAAATGGCTGGAAATGATGTTTTGGAATGTGGTGCTGTTAATATGTGAGTAGCACCTAGCTTTTTATCAGGTTCCAAGGAAGTGGTTGAAGTTACTGAATGGAGAGGAACTAACAGTAAGACTTCATTCAGATAATATAATAAACAACTAGAGTCATAGTTTGGGAGTACTTCCGGGTCTGACAGAATAGTGCTCTGATGACAATCATTTTTCACTTGTTCCTGATTTGTTTGGAAGGCCCAGAGTATTTGAAAGACTACTTGCTCTTACATAATCTTGCCTGCCTGGTGAGATTTTTGGCCTAGACTTGGTTCTATGTTCCCTTCCTCTATCAGTATCTACAACTACCTTCCCAAAGACACCATTCTCAAATTTTTAAGTAGCTGTGAAAATGGCTTTTTAAGCAGGCATGTGATGTTTAATGGTGGCTGGGGCTGGTTGTATGGAATAACCTTAGAGGTTGCTGACTTAAGGCTTTTTAAATATATATATATTCATTTGTTCATTGTCTTTTAATTTGCTGTATGCCACTTTGAAAGCCACACAGCTGGTGACAACAAAGTGAATAAAACCTTTGCAAGCAGTGATGGGATCGCCATTGTTAATCCTGCGGTACATTTTACATTTCAGAATCAGCAGTCTGAGTCCGGAGCAAGATCAGGGACTGTGGAAACAGAGGTAAATGTTCCTTATTTTGTTTCATCTTTAATTTGAATGGGGGAGAGGTCTGACATCAAACCCAGGCTCCTCTTCATCTCTTTTTCTCAAAGTCTTTCTCAAAGTTCTTTCCCTACCCCACTGGAGAATTGGAGCATAAATGACTAAGGTGCATGAGAAACACACATGTGGCACTTAGATGTTAAAAAAAAATCCACCAGCACCAGTGCATGTATTTTTTAAAAACCTTCTGCTGTGGAAGGGCAATTTTGGAGGCATTGCAAGGTTAACCCTTCTATTACCTGCATTAGCTCTCTACCAGAGAGATGCTGCCATTGATACCAGTGGAGGATTTTTAATAGGAAAGGTTGTTATGTGAGGGGAGGCCATGGGCAAGATGGAAGAAGCTCTCCATCCCTGCTTTACCTTTGTAAAATTCTGCAGAAGTTTGGCTCTGTACTATTTTGTGTAAATACTATGAGGTTGTCTGGTGTCTTTTCAGCCATAAATCCTCTGCAGCTATTCAGAATGAAACTCCAAAGAAAAAGCCCAAAATGGAATCCAAGCCATCTAATGGAGATAGGTAAAATTCAGAGTTTCCTATTCTTCTGAATGGAGCAATCATCTGACAGACACAATATGTGTCTTTTCCCCCTTCTGTTTTGTTCTAAAGACATCAATGTGACTATCACTCATGTCATAAAGACAAATTCTTTATCTTTTTGGCCATCTGCCTTCGTGTAATTAAACATTTGTGCTTCTGCATGTTCTGGGGGTAATAAGCTAAAATTGAGGGGGGCGGGGAAGGCAGCCAGTCTAGTGCCTCTAGCATCAGCAGTTCAGTTGTACATAGGTATGAAACTGCTTTGATGTGGTGGTCATGAACTAACCTAATTCTCTAAATACATCTTGTTAAATGAGCAAGATTGAAGACAGAAGTATCTGATAAACCATTGGAATTGATGCTAAATAAAGCAGACATACAAGGGTTTGATCCTTTGAAAGCTAATGCTTAATTATATTTCTACAGGTATATATAATGGGTGCCAATACTAGCTAATTTGCCAGTTTCATCCATTTCTGTCAGGTACATATATTGCATTAGTCCTTAAGGATGTTTGTGAAACTGTTAGTTTAAAATATATTATTTCTTCTTGTTGTCTCAACTGATGCTATTATTTTTACAGTAGTTCTATAAATCAGTCAACAGACAGTGGAGGTACTGACAACTTCGTCCTCATAAGTCAGTTGAAGGAAGAAGTGATGTCCCTGAAACGTCTCTTGCAGCAAAGAGATCAAACGATTCTGGAAAAAGATAAAAAGGTGAAAATGTCAATGCTATTTTGTTAATTATTTTGTAAGTCTTCCATTTGCTCAACAGATTCATATCTATCAAGCCTTCAATGGCTTTAAAAAATATTTTTGTTTTTTAAAATGCCGTACCAAACCCCAGAATTCATTAGACATCAAATTTGTTCAAACATCTTTCTGAAGATTTAGATTTGAATGCTTCTGTTTGTCCTAAAGGGGCAATATTATAATGTATTTTTCCTCCTGCCACCATCCAGCTTCAAAAAGGAAAGATTGAACTCTCCCAGGCAGAGCAAGGTGGGGGGAGGATAACCCCTTTTCCCTGCTATACTACTCAGGGATGATTGAGCACCTTGCACATTCAGTTCTGAATCCTGATAGAAAAGCATTTTACAAATACTTCCTATTCATGTTAGGGGCTGCTTGAGCAGCTGTTCAGAGCCTCCTGTCGATTTATGAACAAATTACACAGTATTGCATTCGGAAATCATTTTTATTTTTTATTTTCACACAAAAGACATAAAATACAAATACGGATGCTAAGGGATATTGCAGAAATACAACATACTATTTCAACATCTAACCTGTTCATGAAAAAGCAAAAAATTCTGTCTCCTGTAGCAACAGTTGTTAAGTTTTCTGTTAAGGTTCAATTACAGATTAATTTATCAAAACAGTTATAAATAATGCCATAACTTTAGCATGAAATACAAGTCTAATATTTTTACAAATTCTTTTGGGAAATTGACAATTATAGAAAATAAAAAATTCTTCAGTGTGCAACTCTTCAGAACCATAGTTGCAAGTTAAAGATCTGCTACAAAAGCATGCCTTATAAATCTCTGCCTGGAGATCTATTTCTAAAGCTATGAGCGTTTTGCTCAGTCCACAGGAAACAATACTGTGTCAAAGTTAGAAGCAAAAACTTAGCTAGTTTCTTTGCTCAATGAGCTGTTGTCTCTTTACAGCTATTTACAGTCCTATGGTTAAGGCTTGAGCCACAGAACCAAATATATTTGTAAGACCAGTCTCTTTAAATAAGTAATAGTTTAGACAAAATTATGAGGGAGTGTATCTTGGTTTACATACGTATGTTAACCTGTTTTGCTTGTACAAATAAAAAGTGCTGTATGTTATTTGTTTTACTGGTCTTCAAACCTCTAAATAAACTTCCTTTAAAATTTCCATCTAGTAGACACCAGAAGCCAAACTTACTGACACATATGAATGACAGTTTTCAAATAGACTTATGGAATAGTGTTGTTCATTATCTCAATTCTTTTTTTTAGTTGACCGAACTAAAAGCAGATTTTCAGTATCAAGAGTCAAACCTGAGAACAAAGATGAACAGTATGGAGAGAGCTCACAAGGAAACAGTGGAACAGCTGCAGGTAAATTGCATTCATTCCAAGGCAATAATTGTGGGCAAAGAACTTACATATATGAGAATGAATAGTTAGCTGTGAAGAGGTCAGCATTTTGAATCTAATATTGTTCAGCTCTCTTGTACTATCAAAATACCTTATTGCATTCTCAGGTTACACTTAAAGTGCCTAAATGGTACCTGAAGTAGATAGCGCTAGGCAAATGTGGGTTTCTGTAAGCCTAAACTGGGTCAGTTCTCATTGACTGAGTTCTGTGAAATAAGTTTAAAATAGGTAATAGCATAGGAAGTAGATTGGAATGTGGTAAACCTTTCTCAGGTGCTGAAGTGTCTAAAGCAGATTTATTATTGGTATCCCCAAATGTACAAATTCCATTATATGTACCATAGAGAAGGAAATACTATTTTTTTCTTTCTTCCTTGGAGTTTCATTGTGGGTGAGGTTGTACTTCTGTCCCAAGATAGTGAGGACAGCAGGGTGATTTTCCTGAGGACAAGGCAATTCAGATATGCCTGAAGCAGCCTATTTTCCTCTGAGGGGAAGCTGATTCAGACTGCAGAGCAGAGATAATTCCTCTGCTCAAACAGGCTTTGATGGGGCTAGGCAAAGCTTTCCTTGAGTCCTTACTGTAAAAATATCAGATGAGGTACAGAACTGGATAAGGGGAGTAGGACAGTGGACAAAGCAAACTTAGGAGTAGGCTTTGTTGCAGACATGATGGGGAAAATGTGCCCTCTCCTGGCCAATCTTCTGCCAACAGTTTTAAAATCTTGGTTTAGGGGGAGAGTTTTTTCCTTTGGATCCAAAAGGAGGGGTGGGTGTTGGCAGGATTTGTGTTCTCCAAACTGTTGTCTTCACTAGTGATGGCAGTGCCCTCTGCATGGAATTCTCAAGTTCTAGGGTAGCCAATAAAAGGGAATGAGTTAGAAGCCATGGCAGAGGCCAAGCCAAGGGCATCTCCCCAAGACCCTTTCTCAAAGTGAGCAAAATAAATACTGAAGTATAAATTAAAGGAAAGTACTGCATATCTTACGTATGCTGCAGCCCCTTTTATTCCATTTGCCTGAACTACTCAGTAGTAACACTGTGAAGGTGACGGGGGTCTTTGCAAAAGGCGTGAGGTGGTATAATGTTGATAGTCTTACTCAGAATCTAAAGAATCATCTGGTAAGTTCTGTGTATTTTAAAGGGCTTTGGGCATCTTTCTGCCAAACATGAGTTCATCGTGCTAAACCACACCTGAAACTATTCCTAAGAGGTTATGAGTGCATGTTAATAAAAAAATTCCACCAGGGCACCAAACTCTTAGATCAAGCCTAAAGACACTTTGAAGGTTTTCTTTCTTTCTTTTCTTTTTTTAAGCAATGCAGGCATTCAGCTATATGGGACAGGGAGGTGATTCCTTTCCATGATGCATTCATGACTTTTACGTTAGTCATTGCAGGAGTATAAATTAAGATTAAGCACGATGTTTTGGCAGTTGTTCAAGGATGGAAGTGGTACTTTCAATTTTGAGAACATGCAGACTACTTTTTATCAGTATTCAGCAATGGCAATACACAGTTAATCTAGAGCTACAAAATAATAGGTGGCAATGGGTGTTTGCTGTTTTGCAGGCAAAAAACAGAGAGCTACTCAAACAAGTTGCAGCATTGTCGAAGGGCAAGAAGTTTGATAAGAGTGGGAGTATGCTGACATCTCCATGAAGAGCTGGCTGTTTGCATGGGTGTTAATACTAAAAAGATAGACTCTGGAAACTCCTTAGTGTGTGTACTAGGAAAAACAATATTTTTGCAGACAGAATAGTTGGCATGTTTCCTACACCTTTTTGTAACTGATGTGTGAAACTTTTTAAAAGTTTAAACCATTTGGATTAAAATACTTCAGCCGGCTTGAAGAAAGCTTAAATAAAACCATACAGGAGGTGACTTCTTGCCAGTTACTTGAGATCAGTAAGAGTGCTCTTATTTTTAACTGCATCATGCAATAACAAATGCAGCAACTTGAGGGAGAAATCCACCAAACACTGCTTTGTGAAGAATCATTAATTTAAATTGGATCTATACAAGGCATCTGGGCAAGAGCAGAACTTGCCTGGGAGCTGGGCAAACATGCACCAAGAAAAAACTGTCAAATACCAATTTATTTCAGTAGCAACTAATTTGAGAAGCAGGAGTTTTTGAATCCCTGGCAACTGTGCTTTATCTTTCAGTCAAAATAAGAGTACATTGAAGTCTAAAATCATGGTGCTTTTATTATGAGAAACTTAAACCTATAAATATATGTAAAAGAATTTTAATAGTTTTATTCTTAGTGATAACTGGTGTTTTGCATTTCTTGTCATAGAAATTTAAAAAGATTCTCTATTGTAAGTACCAGAACAAAATGTGGTTTTTGAAAATATACTGTAGACTTTTCTCTTGCAAGTGCCTTTTCATTCAACCGCTTATTTATAGGAATGTTGGTATTTTGTATATAAGGTTTTTCCTTTTTTTAAAAAAAATCATGTTTAAATGTTCCCATGTGTTTGTAAGTGTGTGTATATATAAATGTATGTACAGAAGAATCAAATGCTAAGATCAAAGTTAGGATGCTAGATAAGGTGCTAAGAACTGGCAGGCAAATTAATTTTGGCTGTAGATAACCATAACAGATGTGTCTGTGTAGAGAGTATTTGTCTTAACTCATGTTGTGCCTAACTTAATGTTTCTGAGGGGGTTTTTCGGCCACATGAAACCATTGGGGTTTTACAACATTTCCCCTTTTTAATCTCAGTGCTAACTTGCATTGTATTCTCAGTGGTGTATTCTAAATTGAATGATACGGGAACAGTATTTGAGCTAATGTAACCCTACATATATATATTTTTAATAACACTGCATTGTAACTTAATGCCTTTTAAATGCTATGTTAACATGCCTTTTTATTTCTGTACAATGAGAAAATAGCAGCCCCACACCAAAAGCTTTACATTGCTAGAGCATAGTTCTGTTCTGTGGCAAATAACCTGGAAGCCAAAAGAGATGCCAGAAACGCCCTCGAGCACCTTGCACTGAGAAAAAGGCACCAGCTGTATAACCATCACTGGAACTTCCACTGGTGACTCAGCCATGTAGTCTGGTGGTATCAGCGACAGGTGAAGCCCCTCATGCAATATTGGAATTCGATAAGCCCAAATGGAGCAACGCATTCCCCAGCAGAAAGCCATGCAGACATGCCCTGACAGGGATGCTTTCAAACTGTTTTATGGGTCTCCCTGGGTTTTCATGAAACCTTACCTGTGGCACGCCAGGTTGCCGGAAAGGGAGCCAGTTTGCCCTTCACTGCTGCTTATGTTCAACTGTAATGTGTAAGTGTGCTCTGAGTGCACTTGATTGGTTTAGGATAGTAGTGAGACCCATGATATCTGGCCAGCAGTGCACCAACCAGCTATGCCCCAGCCTGGGTACCAGTAACTTGTGTAACACACAAGTTCTGCAGCAGATGGGTGAGAAATATCCTCAGCAAACGCGTTAGTGTAGAAAATGTACCCTGAGGGGTAAAAGTTTAAGAGGCAGTAGCCTAAAGTAAATTGTGTGTGTTGTATTTAAGAATAAAAGCCAAATATTTTTAAATATTCCCTTTGGGGATATTACAATTAGAACAGTCAAGGCTTGTTCTAGAAAACATGGCTTCATCAGCTTCAAAATAAAAGTTGAAGTTCCATAAAATGGACATTCAAGGGTGCTCAAATTACTATTGTAGGGATTGTACTTCAGCTAGCATTTATTTAATTTTGGACCTCCAGCTGCCTGAAGATTGGGAGGATTTGTTCCCAAGAGACTACTGAATAATTGTAATTTGAAAAGGGAAAAAAGCTGCTTTCTACAATATTGAGATTTTTTTATTTTTTGTACACTAAGATGAACTTTGTACATTTATAAATACTTTTTGCTGATCTTATGTGATAACACAGCTAGAATAGAACATATAATGCTGCTATCCTGTTGGACTGTTTAGTCATTGAGAATTTTTTTTAAATTAGGGATTTCCATTTCAGGAGTATTTTGATACTTTTCCAGTTGAATGGCTACCTGTCACTGGTGGATTTATGTTTTTTTAAAATGAAAAGCTGGTCAAAACTCTTCACAGGAAAATGATTCACTTTCTGATCAAGTCATTTTCATTGAAACCTGCTGATGCTGCAATAAGAACAATAAGAAAAGACCCAGCATTTGGTTTTTAAGTACTGGAGATTTACAAATTCTATTATGACAGCATTTACAGAGGTCATGTTTAGACATTAATTTTTGGTTTTAAATCACTTATCCTCTCTTTACCTTGGAGTTTTAAAGGCTAGAAACTAGCAAGTGGAATCCAGGAGTTGTAGATTATTTTCACAATGAACTTGTTTTTTATGTAGACTTTCAAGGTGACACATTGTACTATAATGTGGATTTCAGTCAGTTTTCAACTGTTAACTTTGAACAATAAACTTGAGCTCAAGTAATTTATGTATTTTAAGCCTGTGAATATTGTAGTTCCTTCTTTAGTTAGGAGTTTGTGTCCATTCTGAGGCAAAGCTCTTTAGCTTGCTCTGTGTCTGTGTGTATTCACACACACGCACACATACAGACATATACACTATTGGAATTCTGTATTAGTACACATTTGACAGTGGACATTTTTGTACTTTTTCTAAATCCAATTTTCACAATAAAAGTTTTTTAAAACAACAGTATGCCCCTCTTAAGATTATTCAGAATGTCTTTGACCTCCCAGTTGGTCCCATCCTAAGACTGAGAAAAGAGGTCAGTGCTAAGGTTGTTGTGCACTGTAATTTTAGTTTTGTTTTATCACCTAAGTCAAGTATGAGCAACTTGTGGTTCTGCAGGAGACTTGACCTGCTTTTGAAATGTCTTTGAGGTGGTTGTTCAAGGAACGTTTGCCTGAAGAACACATACGACTCTTAAATATTTGAAGTTGGTTGCCCAATTTGAAACTGAGCCATTATTTAATACTTCTGTCAGGTGATGCTGAAGATACTACTGAAGAAAATACAGTGACATCCATGGGATTCCGTTTTTGAAAAGTTGTTGCTGTTATATTGCCTTTCTTTTATGAATTTTGTATGTCAGTCATAGATGACCTTTTATGGATGAGTCTTCCCCAACTAAGGATATGTTAAAATACAAAAAGAAGGTGCTTTTTTAAAAAGCTATTTTCATAAATTGTATAAGAGCAGAATAAGCTCTAACACTATTTAACACATTGGTAATTATTACAAATAGTTTAAATGCAGTATGTTAACTATTTCAAAGGTGCTAAGATTGTCTTTACCCGGAATCTTAACCAGCTTTAGGCTGCCCCATTCAAGTAAGCATTAGGAAGCATATCTTCATTTCCTAGCTTCTATAGACATGGTTGCACTCTGAGCTCTTATAAGTCAAAAAGAACCACTTGAACTAAATTTTGGGGAGAGAAGGGCTTTCTTTCCCCCATCAGTCTCTGATCCCCTCTCCCTCCCTGAACTACTACCATTAATTTCCTTGAAAAATTGGAAATACAGTAACATTAAAATAAAAATCCTGTTATATATTCTTAAAAACAGCTGAATTATAAACCATGAAAGAATGATAAATTTGATCAAATTTTAATTAACTGCACAATGACTATAAATGTTACTTTAACCTTAATCCACATATTTTGGCTTAAATGTTTCCAGAGTCAGTGCTACTTTGTTTCCTCCCATCAAAATAACAAAGTATCAGCAATAAAGAGCTAAATGTACTTATCCCCATAAACATCCAAGTAAGAAAGTTCTTGTCTATTTCCTTTATATAAAATAGTGTTTCAAAGTGCTAACCCAATGCAGAAGTCTGTAACACTGCTCCAAGCTTTTAGCTTGCACGGCTTATTTTTTTCACAAGACTCCCAATATACTTGCTGTAAACCAATATAGAAGATTTCATCTTGACATCTTTCACATGTTCTAGACTACAGTTCCCAGTAGCTTCAGCTAGCATAGCCAATAGAGATGATGGGAGATACAGTCCAAAACATCTGAAGAACATCTGGTTGGGGATGGCCACTTTAGTCTGTTGTGCACAGGATATTGTACAGCAAGAGCCCCTGAACTCATACTGGGGGAGTGACGTTATTTGCCGAGAGGCAGCTGGAAGGCAGATTGGGACCCACTAAGAGATCTTGGGATGATTTGCAGTGAATCCTTAATGGTTTCTGAGAAAGAAATTTAACAGCAGCACCTATATTATTTATTTTATTTCATTTCTATACTGCTCCACAATGAAACTCTGGGTGGTTTACAAGATTCCATAAAACATAACAAAATGCAATAAAATACATAAAATCAGAAGAACGTTAGTAATTTTACAACAGCTAAAATCAATAACGAAGAGTCTGTAAAACCCCATTCAAAGTCACTCTGTTTATTAATTCTATGAATTTCTTCACACCACCACTTTGCCTGCTTGGCACACTTTGGAATTCTAGGAAAAAAGAAAAAAAGTTACACCCTACAAGCTTGAAATTTGTCCACCAATACAATACACATGATCAAGTTGGTACCCAGGTGAAGTTCCTACTTTTGAATCAAGATCCCAGGACCAAACATAAAATGAGAAACCGCAGCGTTGACCTAGTGACTCCATTTTGCCCTCACTGAAAATAGACCTTTACTATTCCATGTTGAAACATAATTAGTGAAACATCAAATATTTGCACAGACCTAGATTAAATTTATTTTTCATAGTGATTAGTTTCTTATTCACTATGAAAATACCATAGCTTGACTTAAGTTGTCACAGATCTTACACCTTATACCATTTCTTTTATTCACCTCCAAATATTTCTTTGTGATTAACTGCTTTTTCTCTGTTGGCCACAAGATGCTGCTTAAGCACTTTGTAAAATGTTGCAGGCATCACATTTATGCATCAAGTTTCTGTTCTGATAAAAAAATATATTTCACCTCCACAGGAAGTGGTGATGGCCACCAGTCTGGATAGCTTTAAGAGGGGTTGGGAAGATTCATGGAAGAAGCATCTATCAGTGGCTACTCACTTCTTGTGCTACCTCATTTCTCCAGAGGTAACATGCCTTTATAGACCAGTAGCTGAGGAGCTTGGGCATTTCCTAAGTCATTACAGCTTGTGTATTTGTTTTCAGGGAAATACTACAATTTCAGTGCATATGCACCCTGTATAATGGATGTCCTCGTGCGTGTATTTTGTATTTTTAAATTAGGCCCCTTTTAAAAAAGAATATTTGAATCTGCTGTTAGGGCTGAGCTTCGGTGGATTTCAAAAGGGACCACAGCCATATGGGACAACTTGAGGAGCCATATCTGTTCACATTTGTCATGGGGTGAACACTTATTGATTAACTTTTGCATGTCCTGTAGAGGTCAGAGCATGAGCCAGAAGCAAAGGAGGAGGCTGTCCCCAAGATGTGCACAGCCACAGCTGATTTTACACAGAATCTCTGCACAACTATTTGTGTAGCACCCAAAAAACTACATAAAAGCAGCACCTAAATAATGCTGTGGCATATTAGGAGGAGAACATGGGTGGAATTATATTTAGAATATGGCCTGTAAAACAGAACCCAAATACTTGCATGCCTGTACATGTTGAGACGGGAAGAAGGCCTTCTGTGCCCAGTGTTTCCCAGCTGGCCATGCGTAGCTAAGGAATCCTGTTTTCAATTTTTTTTCCTGCCCAAACATGCATGGGACTGTATCTTAAATGAGTTGTGCATTGATCTGAAGCAAGATGCAGTAACAAGAACTTCTACTTTGTGAGTGGATGTCTAAAGAATGGTGGTTTGCTTGCTCACTGTGATCACTCGGCAGTAATGACAGTCCAGCCTTGGATTGTGGGGAAGTTAATGCAGTCCATTTGAATGAAAATGAAACCACAAGGTCAAAAAGTTAATTTGCAGACTGTGGTTCAAAGGTCTCTGTGAAGTAATCTAATGGAATTGGGTTGAATCCAGTTATGGTTTCAGGCTTTTTCACAAATGGAAGACCCCTTCACAAAAACAATAGCCTATGGTTAACACTCATGGTTTCTCATGGGTTCTTTGGGCAGTTCATGAGAACACAATTGTGCTAGGAAAAGTCAAAGACAGAAGAAGAAAAGGAAGGCCAACTATGAGATGGATCAATTCCTTAAAAGAAGGCACAGCTATGAGTTTACAAGAGCTGAGCAGGGATGTGAAGGACTGGACATTTGGGAGAACAACTTCATGGCATGTAACAACATGCCCAGGGAGAGTTAGGAAAACAGCTTGCCTGAAACTCCAGGAAGTTGCTGCCAGTTAGTGTTGACCGTCCTGGGCTAGATAGAGCAGTAATCAGACTTGGTACCAGATTCTTATGTTCCTAACCCCAACCCCGTGCTCCTTTCACTCTGGTTTGAAAGCCACCTTTCTCAGACAAATGGGAAGGATGAGGATAGCAATGGAAAACCAAGGGATGTGGGAAGTGCCCATTCCACACCGTTTCCCCATCCAAAAATACTCTCACTGCTGCCACCACTGCTTTGCGGATTAGATGGAAATGCAGGGTTGAGAACAGCCAAATCCAGGATGGAGAGCGCTCGTGGCAAAGGACCTTCTGACACTTCCTCCACCACATAGCTGTGCCTGAGCCCCAGTGGTGTAATGGTACCAGGGCTTACAGCGGCATAGGTGTATTGTTCCCTGTACTTCCTCGCCTAGATCTTTAGTAAAGATGTTGAAGAGCACTGGGCCCAGGACTGAACCCTGTGGCATTACTCTCTCCAGTTTGAGAAGGTACCATTGATGAGTGCTCTTTGAGTCTAATTTTGTAAGCAGTTGTGGATCCACCTAATAATTGTACTATTTTCTAGTTTGTTTATCAGGATGTCATGGGGCACTTTGGCAAAAGCTTTGCTAAAGTCAAGATAGATTACGTCCACAGCATTCCCTCAGTCCATTTGGGAAGTTACCTAGTCAAAAAATGAAATTAAATTAGTCTGGCAGACTTTATTCTTGAAAAATCCATGCTAGCTTCTATTAATCACTGCATCTTTTTCAAGGTGTTTTCAGACTGATGGTTGTATAATTTGCTCCAGAATTTTTCAGACTGACTGGTCTGTTAACTCCCAGGTTCATCTTTTCTTCTTTCTTGAAGATGGGGACAAGATTAGCCCTTTTCCAGTCATCTGACACAACCCCTGCCTTCCATGATTTCTCAAGATAATACACAGTAGTTCCAAGAATTCTTTTATGAGTCTAGGATGGAGTTTGTCGGACCCTGGAGATTTGAACACACTTAACTTGAATAGGTGTTCCTTGACCATTTGTCTGTTGATGCTGGGCTGCCATCCTGCACTTTCAGCTAGTACTTCCCCTTCAGTGAGAAGGTTGTAGTTCTTCATGCGGGAGAAGACTAAGCCAAAGTAGGAGTTGAGCACCTCTGCCTTTTCCTCATACTCTGTTATCATTTTGCCATCCAAACTGAGTAGTTGAACTCCCTTCTCTTTCATTTGTCTTTTGTATTGGATGTATCAGAAGAAGACTTTCTTGTTGCTTTCAGCGTCTCTCACTAGTCTCAGTTCATTTCCTGCTTTAGCCTTCCTGACACTATTCCTGCAATCCCTTGCTGTTTGCTTATATTCTTCCTTTGTGGCCTCTCCTTCCTTCCACCTCCTATACATGCCCTTTGTTGCATTCAGGTTGTCTCTTTACTTT